TGTGGGAACATGAAAAATGGTCCCCACAACTTCAAAATAACAGATTTTTATTACATTATATGGGGATTTAGTCCCCACAATGTAATATAAAAATAATACACACACACCTTGAGCTTTACAGCGTCTGACTGCTCTGCTCAGCCATGCCCCTGTTCCTCAACCCCCCCCCCCCCCATGTCCTCATGTGGCAAAAAAGAGGGGGAAGCGGAAACAATTCATCCAAAATGCAGCAGAGCACATCATCCGTGCGCGGAGGGAGATGTGGGCGCGGAGATCACACCCCGCCTCCGCCTACGAGTGCTGACAGTGGAAGAGGGATACAAATAAAGAAACAAGCATTCACTGCGAGGGACTGGTGTTTAAATAAAAGCCTGTATGGAATTCAGGCTAAAAAAAAGTCACGTAAAATCATTTATAGACAGGCAGATTCTCATTCTACAGCTCTTTATTCTTTTCTTATTGAAATGGACTTTATTGACGTCACAGATGTGCTTCAGAAACACTTTTCTTCTCCATCGCTGTCTGTGTCTCTCCCTACCTTTTCTGTTATCTGTACTCTTAGATTATCCAGTCCTTTTCATTCCATGTCCATTTTTTTGAGTTCTTTTTTTGAGTTTCCATTTTCCCTCACCCTTTCCCAAGTCTGTCAATCATCCTCATGTCCTCCATTTCTCCTAATTTCTTCTTCTTTTCTATCTCTTGTAGTTTGGCTTCACCTATCCCTCCTCCTCGTTCATCATCACCTCCCTCTGCCTCCTCTCTCCTGTTTCACCTCCTCATTCATCATCACCTCCCTTCAGCTTCCTCTTTCTTGTTCCTCCTCACTCATCACCTCGCTTCAGCTTCACATCTTGCCTCCTCATTCATCATCACCTCCTTTCAGCTCCCTGTCACATGCCCTTATTCATCATCACCTCCCTTCAGCTTCCTCTCTCCAGTTCCTCCTCACTCATCATCACCTCCCTTCAGCTTCACGTCTTGCCTCCTCCTCATCATCCCTCTTTATTCATCACCTCCCTTCAACTTCCTCTCTCTTGTCCCTTCTCCTCATTCATCACCTCCTCTTAGGCTCCTCTTTTCTGCTCCTCTTCCTCTTCCTTTAGCTTCCTCTCTCGCCTCCTCCTGTCTCAGCTTTCTCCTTGCTGTCTCTCCATGTCCTTCACTTCTGCTCAGCTTGTCCTCTTCCTTCCTGTGTGACTGCGCATTCCTCTGGCCCTTCTACCCTGTGCTCTTGGAACAGATAAATATGGCACCCAAAGGAAAGCCTTGAGTGTGGCAGAGTGAGAAGCTTGTCAGGCACAGCGTGAGTTCTGTTCATTCTACATATTGTCCACTCCCAAATCTTCATGCTTGCTTCAGCAATTTGATGCAAGTCTATTTCTTAAAGAGACAGTAGCACCGTCTTAAGAGCACAATGTAATCCCCTACAGCCGAAAACCCCAAGCATCAAAGCTAGCTTCTAAACCATTAGTCCCGGGTTCCACTTTAAACAGCATTCAGAGTGGGTTTATGATTTCAGAATGAATGTTAGAGAGGCATGTGGAGTGAGCTATACAATAAAAAACAGGCAAAAACTAAGTAGCAAGTAGCCATTTTAGGGGGATTGGCAAAGCCAGCAGAACAGCTTGTAGCATCAGTGTTGTGGCATAGACACGACCTCCATATGACCAGGAGAAATGATGATCAGGTGGGAGACAGCCATCCTCCCATGATACCCCCCCAAAAAAACACACACCGACAGTGAAAGAGGCGTGCCATCCTTTAATGACGCACGGGAAGCCCTGGATGCAGAGGCGGAGTCACAAACCACAAGCCAAAGTGTACAAACACCCCATGTTTTGTTACAGGATGCTGGTTAACTGGCACCTCACCGCCCATTCGCTGCCCGGGACTCAGAGTCAGTGACAAATGAGCAATATGTCACAGCCAATCGTACGACATCGTTTCGACATTGGGGGAGACGTCGGCTGAAATGTGAAATAGGAATCATGTACACACCCAGCTGCAGTTATACCAAAGGATCTCAGAAATAGAAACGCTAAATGAGTAATACCTGTGGTAGAGAAGGTGCATACTGCTGATTTTTAAAATAAATTCTGCGCGTGGCGTGTGCACAGAAAACTCAGAATAACTCCCAAATTAAATGATAATCATTATCACACATAAATGTGTGGCAAGCCATGCGACAGCAGCACAGCTGCATGGCCACTGCACAGACGCCCGAATCACACCCAGACACACACGACCGCATGGGCGCTCTCAAAGTCTCTCTTTGTCTCCTCCTCTCTCTCTCTCTCTCTCTCTCTCTCCCTCTCTCTCTCTGTCACTCTTACATTATCCCAGGTCCCGGCCATCCTTATGAATTTTAATGGTGTTTCTCGCACACAGATGTCGTTAGCCGATCCCTATGCTTTTGAAATGATCTTTCACGTGCCCCCCCCCCCCCCCCCCCCCCCCCCCCCCCATTCCACTTGCTGAAAGAGGGGCTTTAATCTCCCCCTAACCCCACCCACCTGGCACACGGCTGGTAATCACACCGATGCTTTTGCTGCCGTATTTAGCATTAGTTTGCCACTGGGTCAGCTTGGGAACAGCACCCTCCCCCCCCCCGAGTGGGTCGCTGAGGTCGCCCCGCATCGGCCGTGGGGGACAGAGCGGTGCGGCACGGAGCGTATTAATTTCGCAGTGTGCCGGTAATGTGGGCCAGCTGGGCCCGGTGTGCTGTTGACGTGGCCGGCACAGCGTGCCCCCCCCCCGGCCCTGCCTACGACACCTTTCCTCCGTCTCCATCGCTGTGGCCCCTGACTCCCCGCAGACCTCCATATGTGTGTTCACCTCTCCTTTGTGCTGCTTCCCACCCCTCCTCCTCCTCGCTTTCTCTCGGAGGTTCCTGCTCCATCTGTTTTGCTCCCGCTTTCCTGCAGCCTTGGGGGGGGGGGGGGCGTGCTTCTCCTTCTTCCTCGCTGCCCGCCTTGGCCCCCACCACCATCGCCATCCAAGAAACCGCCTCTATTTTAAAAGTTGAAAAGTAGCCTATCCCCTCTGTTTCATCCTCCACAGTTTAGTTCTATCCATTGTTTCCACTTTCTCCCAAATTTCACTAAAAGTTCATTACTCACAAGTGTCCACCAGGGGGCAGTCTGTGGCTTAGTGAGTTAGCAGTTTGTGCCTGTAATCAGAAGGTTGCTGGTTTCAAACCCAAGGGCCGGCACACTGATGCCACCACTGGGCCCTTGAATAAGGCCCCAAACATCACTCTCGCCTGTATGCGCGTGTGTGACTCAAAGGAGAGCATGATGGAATATAGAAAAAGAAGCATTCCTATGTACTTGTGCTCATGCTTGTACAAATGGCAAACAAATTATCATTTCAAAAACAATTAGAAAAAACAAGAATTTAAAAATAAACAGTGGTAATGTTACTGGTGTCCAGTCTAGGGTACCCCTGTGCTTGCTGGGATTGGCCACAGGCTCACTGTGATCCCACCCATATGTGTTTGTAAGACTGCTAGATGATTGGGTGTAGTGTGATTCTCTCCAAAATGACTGGTTGTAGCATGACTCCCTATGCTGAAATGTAGACTCACTCTATGCCTTGTGAGAATCTGGGGTTTCTGAGGGATCTCCTGATGGGCCCTCAGGCCTTCTCATCTGTTGTTTAATTAGATTTCTTCTTGTTTTAGTTCTTCTTGCCACTTTTTAATTATGTGGGTGTGATATGGTTTGTGCCAGCAGATCTCTGCTCTAAAGCCACCTGCTTGGCGTTGGAGTGACTGAGCTTCATCTTGGTTTAGGGGGACCGTATTGTTCGGACTTCCTCCAAGTTCAGAAGCAAGACGGTGAAACCGTTAAATTTAGCCGATGTCGATCTCCCAGGATTAACACTGAGGGACCTGCAGCCCAGGATCAGCAGCCAGGGATTTTCTGTGTAATCATACAACATCCTCCTCAAGATGTTTGGTTCCAAAGTGGGAAGAACATGAATCATTTTGGATTTTTTAACCTTGAAGCTTTGCTCCTCTCTCAGTGTTAATGCAGATTTTGTACAATATTTTTTTCTCTTTTAATCTGCGATTAAGGATCTTGAATAAAATGCCGCTGTTGCTGCAAGCTCAGCTTAATGAGTGTTTAATTGAATCTCCTTATTTCACGGCTGCTCGTTTCAGGTTTGTTAGATCTGGTGCGAAAAATGTCTGATTCTGCCTTGTTTCTCCAGCACACAGGTAAAGCCAGAGACTGGATCCACGCTTAAATATTCTTCTAAATACATGCTATGTGGCTTTTCACTAATAATAAATAAATATGGCCCATTTGATCAAACCGCTTTCTGGAATATAAGTCTTTAGAGAGGGCATTACATTTTTTAAAGTAATTAACTGAGGGTGGCACATTTCATTCTCATCAGAAAGAATGACTTTAGCTTGAATCCGACATGTTTTCTGTGTGTTTCATGAGACACCTACCGTCTCTCACCCGCCTTACAGCTGTGCTGAGGCTCAGAGTCACCAAATCCAGGCAGGTACGCTTGATGGCTGCTCTAAAGTGGTGTGGTGCCGGTATCTCTGACAGTCAGCGAGCCACTGCCCACATCTGACTGGCTTTCAAAAGAATCAATAGGTGTGTAACAGGCCTCGATGTGTTACTGACAAACCCAAGTGATCTCTGTCCCTTCCCCCCCCCTCTCTCTCTTCTTTTTCTCTTTTTGTATTCTACACCTCCTCTCTTTCCCATCCCTGTTTAACTCCTTTTCTCTCCTTTTGCTTTTTCATCCTTTCCCTCTCATCTCCCCACTCTGTTTCCTCCTTCTCTCCCTTTCTCCTCTTTTTCCTCTCTTTGTCTCATCTCCCTCTCTCCTCTTCCTCCTTTTCCCCCCACCTTCTCCATCTTCCCTCTCTTTTCTCTCCCTCTCTTCCTCCACCTCCTCTCTTTGTCCTATCTCCTCCTTCTCTCTCCCTCCCTTCCTCTGTCTTCCCACTCTCCCTCTTTGTCCCGCTTTCCCAGCTCAGGCAGTAAGGAGCCCCAGTGCACTGTGGGTAAAGTCCGTGACCTGGCCACCCTGCGACGTCACTTCCGGATGGGCTTCATGACCATGCCCGTCTCTCAGGACCTATCGCCATGCCCATCCGCCATGGCACCGCGCTCACAGTCCTGCCACTCCGTGGGCTCTGAGGGGGCAGGTCTGGAGAACGGAGAGCACCCCCCCACTCCTGCTGCACCTCCCACTGCTGGGCGCCGACCGCCAGCCAAGCCCAAGCGCCACCCCAATACCCGGCTCAGCTCCGCAGCTGACCCCCGCGGGATCCCTCCAGATACACCACCTCCTCTACCCCCCAGCAAGCCTCCAGCCAAGCATTCCCACCTCAACAGGAAGAATGGTGAGGGGGTGGGCGGGGTCTGTGAGGAGAAGCCTGATTGGTTAGGGTTGTGAATGACCTTCGCTTAAGGCAGGGGTGTATACAGTAGGGAAACTGGGGCAGTGGTTAAAGTTGAAAGCTGACTGGCCCTCCATAGTGCCCCTTCCCTGTCACTTACAAGTTTAAAGCATATCATCAGGAGATGAGTGTCCTGTGTTTGAGGAGATGAGTGTTCTGTGTTTGAGGAGATGAGTGCCCAGTGTTTGTGGAAATGGGTGCCCTGTGTTTGAGGAGATGGGTGCCCTGTGTTTGTGGAGATGAGTACCCAGTGTTTGTGGAGATAAGGGCCCTGTGTTTCAGGAGATGAATGCCTAAGTAAATGCTGCAATGTGAGGAAGATGGTGACTGACCTGTGTTTGAAAATGTGATTTTCCTTGAGAAATGAAGTCTCCATGGCAGAGTGCCGTTTGTCTCGTGTGGTGTGCCTGTGTGCCTGTGATCTCTGTGCCGTTTAGGCTGGAGGTGACCTTGCTAATATGGCAGTTTCGGCACATCAGCTCCTCATGGTCATTCTCTAGTAGCTGGAAGTGAATAAGTGTGGCCCCTCCTTCTGCAGAGCCACGGCCATTGCGTGCACAGAAATTCTATCACTTTCAATGACTCTTGAGCCCCCAAGTGTTTTCAAATGGATTGCTGTTATTGCATTGCATATTTTTGGCTCTTTAAATCTGATTTTTAACACACCATGTTGTGTATGTTGTATTAGTGTTTATGAAATGTGGATGTTCACTCTCAAGCACAAACAAGAGCTTCACACACACACAAACACAGGGTTGTAGGGACTTTCCATTCATTTCTATAGGGAAAATTCTAATCCCAACATGAAGACCATAACTCCTACCCAGCCCTATCCTTAACCATAACACTGCACACAAGAATAAGGTGAAGCAGGAGACACTGGCAACAACCACAAACCAGCCAGGTAGAGGGCAGAAGCGACTTTCTAATGCCAGAGATGACCGTTAACTTATCTGACTGTTTCTCCTGAATCGTAGGATGACGTCAAGTGACCTTCAATAGGAATGGGAAACATTAAGCGCAGGTGTGAAGTGCAGTGCTATGACAGTTCATTTCAGGCTCTAGAAGCAGGACTGAAGTCCCATAAAGCAAGGAAGAAGCCCTTCATTAATAAGAAACAGAGAAGAACCAGGCTGCAGTTTGCTAAAAAACAATATTATTCACAGATGCACACCCATAAGTTGAGAAATGAGTGAAACAAAAAATTATGCTGTGGTCTCTTAATTATTTCCAGAGCTGTATATTGATGGTGGTGCAGGGATTTGTTTCCCCTGTGTGCCGAGTCAGTCCTCTGGGTCAGAGCCCCTCATATCCAGTCTGTAGCTCCAGCGTAACACTCAGAATGTTCTTTCCCTCCCTTTCTTCCTCCCTTGACAGTCATGAGGAAGTCAGAATCTGGGGACGTGTCCAACAGAAAGGTGCCTCCCGCCAAACCAAAACGCAGCCCCAACACCCAGCTCACCTTTGAGCCCCCGCCGGCCCGGGTGCCCCCCCCGGCCACCCCTCTGCCCCCCCCATCCCAGGAGACCCAGGTGCAGGAGATGGGCAGCGAAGAGCCAGTCTACATCGAAATGGTGGGCAATGCCCTCTCCCCCTGCACTGCCACCATTAGCTCCACGCCGGACTCGGACTCGGAGCAGAGCGAGGCTATCTATGAGGAGATGAAGTACCCCCTTCCCGAGGAGGCAGAGAGCCTTAGACAAGACGGCCCACCGCCTCCCAGATCTGAGAAACCCTGTCATGCATCATCTTCTCGCTCCTCTGCTTCTTCGCTGTCTCACCCTGCCTCTTCTTCCTCCTCATCCAAGCCCAAAACACCCATCTCCATCTCCCACTCCTCCCCCCTCCCTGCCTCTTCTCCCTCCACCCCCATCCCCCAAACCCAGAGGGCGCCAACCCCCTACCTCCTCCCAGGAAGCAAGCCCCAGGTGGAAACAAGCAACAAGATCCCCGCCCCATTTCCCAACCTGCTTCAGCATCGCCCGCCCCTGCTGGCGTTCCCCCAGCCTGCCGCTGCCTCTAGTGGCGTGGGCATCGCGGCCAAACTGGGCACAACCGGCACCCAGAGCTCTTCCAGTTTAGCTTCAACTGGAAGCACGTCCTCCTCCAAGCTCCCTGTCCTACAGACCACAGCCAAAGACACCCATCAGGACAAGCAGCAAGCCGAATCGACGGACTCCCGCCTGGGTCACTCATACTCTGGTCACTCCCACCCTGTTCCCGGCCTGAGGGCCCGGAGCCACTCCACTCCCTTGCCTCCATCCTCCCACTATGGATTCCACCAGCACCACCACTCCAACCATCACCCCTCACACTACCACCAGTACCGCAAGGCGGACCGCGAGCTAACCACATCCCATAGCATGAAGCTGAACTCAAAGACCCAAAGCACCAGCCACCTCCCCAAGTCAGAGAAAAGGGAAGCCACCCACCACAAAAGCACCCCCAATCCCACCCACGCCACCCCCTCTTCCCGCTCCCTCCTCTTCCGCTCCCACACCCCTCACAGTTTGCCTGCCTACACTCCCCCCCCGTCTGACAGCCCTCTGCTGTGGACCTACCCCTCCACGGGCCTAAGGAGACCCCCAGCCTATGACAGCTTGCGTGGTGGCCAGCTGTCCTCTGACCCAGCCACTCCCCAGCAGGCCAAAACTGGGGGCGTGGCCAAGCAGTCAGATACGGGGAGCCTTTTACGTGATGGCAGCGTAGGCGGGACCACGGCAGACGAGGGCCCCTATTGGACGATGCAGAGGAAGATGTCCTTCACTCAAAGCAGCAGAGATGCAGAGAGTGAGTGATGAACTGAACGAACAGGATTCGATCCTCTGTTAAGCAAACCTCCCACCATGTTTGTAATGCCGTCCCGGTTTATTATCACGGCCCGGTCATTGTGGAGGACAGAAACAGCCCAGAGAAGATCTGTTACTTAATGGGTCGATGGAAATGGAGAAGGAGTGCGAATTATGGAGTGTAAAGTAATAATTTTACTCAGTCTGACAGAGAGGAATAAGGGAAAGAAATACAACCGTTTCAAGGCTTCCGTGGCCCCTCCACAGAAACGTTTCGGGGCTGTGCTGCCGATCTCCGCGACGACGCAGGCATGACAAATCGATGCAAGATGAAACCAGGGATTAGCCTTTAACTGGCTATGCATAACACATGCAAGACTATACATGTCCTTTCATGTGGATATAAGGGACATTTATGCGGGAGATTGAGCTTTTAATATGTAAATGGGGTATATGTGAAACAGCGTTCCCAAAGCAGGCATGCATGTAATAGACAGTTAGGATCTATGATAATGAATCCGCCCGTGAGATATTACAGCACTGTAATACCGCTAATCTCCATCACATGTAGCACATAAAAATAATGTCCAGGTTGGCTGGGCTGCTTATTTTACATATTTTACATTTCGATATTTATTTTCCACGTATCCTGCTACAGTATTTCTTTTGTGTTCATTTTCTATACATACTGTAATAGCTTGTATAAGACTGAGCCATCTTTGGTAGATTTTTTTTTCTGCGTGCTGCAAAATTATGCTTAATCTATTTATCCAATATTTGGTTCATGTTACACATGCGGTCCGTGCTCTGAACCTGAATCAGCAGGCTAAGCAGCGAGTGTAGCGCAAGGCTCAGCACTCGGTTCATTTCGGAATCACTCGTTTCTGGGTTTGAGGGGCTGGGTTTAATCTGTCGGCATTTTAATTCCGGGTTCTGGTCGGATTTACCAGCGTTTAGTTTCCAGTCACGGCTTCCGTTCAGCCACCGTATCGCCTCTGGTTTTCAGGCGGTCTGGTTCGCTGGCGTCCTGTTTCCGCAATAGCGGTGCTGCGCCGCGCAAGCCACATCTTCTTTCGGATCTGTTTTTGCACTTCAGCCCCATTTCCCAGTTGCTGTTCCCAGTGGCTGTTTGTCATACACATGGTCCTGGAGCAGCTCATCCAGACAGCAGCCCCAAATCTCTTTGATCACCGCCCTCCCACACTAAGATTTCCAGTGGTTTCCGGGACCAAGGGCGTAGTAGAGACTTTGATATTAGGGGGCATACAGTTTGATAATTTAAATTTAACGGTATATATTATTCTTGCGGGAATGGGAGACAAATTAAGCCAAATTAGATATTCATATTGGGAGGGGGGAGGGGGCCATCTGAGTCCTGGCCATGAGAATGTGTATACATATATATGTATATATAGCGTATGTTTAATACTCTGTACCTTTGGCACTCATGTATATAATATTGGCATAGTTTGTTTAATGTTCCCATTCTCTTCAGAGGATGAAGGTAGTCGCATTCGGAGCGATAACATGGATACGCTCCTGCGAGGAAACGAGGACGAGCAGACGCAGCCCACCTCCGGCGAGGGAGCACCGAGCTCCGGCCTCCGCGCTCCGAGTCGGACCGGGCTGCCCCTGCCCTGTCAGACATTCCCGTCCTGCCACCGCAATGGAGGTAGAGTGCAGTTATCCTCTATTATAGCCGCGCCCCCAAACCAGTAGTGTTTATTAAAAGCCTCCATCAGTTTTTAAACAGGTATGAACATGTGTACATAGCACCTGTGCTGGTGTGCGCCTGTGTCACTACATCTCTGTGTGTCCCGTATGTTACAGAGCTGGGGCGACTGGGCCGTTCAGCCTCCACGTCAGGGGTAAGGCAGAGCAGTACCAACATGCAGAGGCAATTCAGCCTGCCCAGAGACACGCCCAAGGACACGCCCAGAGACACGCCCCGAGAGATGGTGAGTCTGATTGGCCGTCCATACTGTCCACCAGCCTGTATTCGTTGACATTGCGTCTCCTGTCCCTAGCCATGTGATCAGTCCTGATAAGAGACAGTGAAGACAACACTACTTTTATTTGAATTAAATAGCAATGCTAGGTTTTAGCACATTATTACTCGGAAAGTGGATCTGGGTTTTAAGTACTAGTCCATAGAATCTGTAAAAGTACGTCCCCATATAAGATTTCATTATATTTCCTTGGAGTCACAAAAACTATGTTAGGATGTTTTGGATTCTTCTAAAATATACTGGCAATCGTAATAAGTAATGAAATGAAGGAACCAGTATGCTGGTGTGTAAATGGTTTAAGGCAACAAACAGGTGCAGGATTTTCCCATAAGCCTTTGCCTCAAAGTGCTTCTCCTCATGGCCGAGGACAGATGTCTGGCCTCCTAAAATGAACCTTTTATTCTGATGGGTTGTGGATAGGGAAAAAATCCAGTACACAGACACTGTTTGGCTCGGAATAGACAAGGACTGATGGATGGATAAATGGATGGATTCACTGACTGCTGGGTGGAGAGAGGGAAGGACTACTAGAGTGATTCATTAGGGAACCACATGTCCAAATGTTACTAGCTGTCCCTGCCTATGTCTGAATGCTGATGCGGGGAATCTGCCCATGTGACCTTTGTGAAGGCTGCAGCCGGAGGAATGGAATCATGTTGCCACCTACTGGCTACTGCTGGTTACTGCAGGGAATCTCCTCCTGGTGGTCAATATGAAAACTCCCTCTCTACACTTTGCACCCTGTATTAAGAGTTGTTGCCTGTGGTGCCATTTTCCTAAATTTGCACTTAGTTTTATTGTTCTCTTGCTTCACCCTCAGAGTCACGCCCACTCTCCACCCACCCGCGCTCTGACCACAGCACACCAACAGCAGCAGCTGCAGCAGCAGGTTCATCTCCACCTGCAGTACCAGCACTTGGCCCAGCTTGCGCAGTGCCAGCCTCCTGCCAGCGGGGGCGCTATCTCTCAGGCCCAGAGCCAGAGAGACAGGAAGCTGCTTGAAGTGATAGAACGGAAGCGCTGCTTGTGTAAGGAGATCAAGGCCCATAGGCGTCCGGAGAGAAGCCTGTGCAAGCAGGACAGCATGCCCATTCTGCCCAGCTGGAGAAGGACCCCGGAGCCCAGCAAGACGGGCACCTCCTCATGCCAAAGGCAGCAGGCTGTGGTGTGGGACACTGCAATATAAAGGGCTTACGGGGAGTGGGTGGGAAGAACCACAGGAAGAGGTCGATGGTCACATGGTCTTACATGAGGCAGAGGTGTGGTCATTCTTAAGGTGTGGCTCTCCTTGGGGGTGTGGTTAACTACTGGGGGTGTGGCCATTCATTAGGGATGTGGATATCTGAGATGATCAGGGGTTGTAGGCTGGACACAGCATATACCTCCACACACAAATGTTCATACTGCCCATTAACTAACAGAGGTGCTGGAAGGCAAACATTGAGGAGAGGAGAGAGAGAAGGAAGAGGTGGTGTGCAGGACACGACTCGGATGGTGGGTGGAAGATGTAGAAGATACAGGCAGCCAGAGAAGGTACCAGGCAGCATCTGCTTGCGTTCTGCTCGATCTCCAGCGCAACTTTGTATGTTCCTATAACTTCTAAACTTTTTTCTTCTTTCTTGGAGATGATGTTCCTTGACATGGTGGGCCCTAAAACCCAAATAGATCCTTCAGAATATTCTGCAGGACAAACAGGGCCCCTTAAATTGCCCCCGGTGCCAAATATGGTCATACACTGGACAGGTGTTCCCCCACCCCCTTTCATAAACACCAGAGTTCCTATGTCAGTTTATTCAGATCCGATACGTGGCTGACAGCAGAAAATTACACCTTAGGTACCGACTGTGCTTTGCTTTATCCTGTGTTACTAAGTTTATTTCTATTCTCTGCACCCTCAGCTGATGACTATGGAGAGGACTATGGAGAGGATGGTGGTTTGTCATATAATAGAAGGGTGTATTTTGAGGAGCATGACAAGGTTAGGAGGGGGAGCTAAAAGGAGCATGACGGATGCCAAAGATACGGGGCACAGTGCACCTGTCGTGAAATATGGGAGTTTTCCAGCCTGCCGGCACAAGGGGAGCTTCCACCTACGGGGTCAAGCCGCAGAGACAAAGGAAATGCACGAACAGTCCACCACTTAGCACGTAATCGCCGTTATCAGCAAGAGCGCATCCCCGCGTGGGTGTACAGATCCAAACGATACCGTCGTACGAAGCACAAAACGTGTGGCGCAGAGCTGCGAATGCGTCTCACGCCAAGAGACGTGCCTTAAGCGACAAAGACCCAGAACATACAACTTAAATGCAAGGAAGAATGAGAACGTCTCTACGATTCTATTGACCAAATGCCCTCGTCGAGAACATGGCGAAGGCTGCGGGCTAGTTCACTTTGAATCGAAGGAATGAGGTCTTCCAGGTGTTCCGTGACTGGGTTTCAGTTCAGATGTTTTTGTTTGAAAAACCGACTCTGTGGGATAAATGTCCCTGGATCAATCATTAGATGTAGGCTACTTAATTGTCGCATTCAGTTAGAGCAGAATTTTGTGAGAGAAAGGACTGTTGTGATAAAGGCACAGGAGAAGATCATTCTTAAATACAAGGAAAGGCCCCGAGGCACCATTTCCCAAAACGCATTACAATCACTGATACAGGTTTAGTATTACCCTGACTCACGCTAAATAACTGGCAGACCACTCCTATTTTCCCTGCATGCACACCACCTCTCTGTTTAAAATCTGTTGCTGCTGGCATTATTTTTTTTATTCGTTTGTTTTTTTATTTCTTTTTTATTTGCTGCTAAGGTTGAACTTATCCATTTGATCAAAAAACAATGCAGAGTGTGAAAACATTGTAAATATCGCTGTAACAACAGATATTTTCTTTTGTAAGGAGTTTGTACACACAGTAGATGGATGACTGTACGTTTTGGTACCGCTATTCCTTCATGATTATGAATAACTGCTTTCTTCACTTGTTTCCTTAAATGTCTCTGTTTTAGTTGTGCTTGTAATATATAATTTGTAAAATGTTTTTCAAACTGAAAATATTTTAAAACCATTTTTAAAAGAATAATTGAATGCATTAGTTAGCTAAACGGGCTTGTTTTCACAAGGAACTGACAGTTCGTTTTACTGAATTTTACGCGTTTGGCTATCTGGGTATCACGGTGCTTTTGAAGTCCTTCTGAAGCAGTTTGGAAATGAAGTTGACATTCACATTACTAAAAAAGAAGAAATTTGGACATTTTTTTTATAAAATACACATAAATAACATTTCTAAAGTGATGTCACCCACAAAAATATCACTCGCTTTTTAAAACAGATTATCCAATAGATTTTAGTTGTTTATTGTAGATTCACTTTCATTCCTGTCCTTTGACGTGACTATCTAAAGCAACTTACAAATTTACTAATTTGGCATATATTTCACAGAAGCAATTCAGATTATCTTGTGTTCTTCTGTGCACATATCTTTCTCTTTTTTGGGGGGGGGGGGGGAGTCCCAGTATCCAAGGACTTCAACAAGCTGAGCCCTTAACCATTACATCAGCGATTAATTAATTAAGAAACAGGAAAAGGGGTGGGCGCTGTATGGCAGACCTGTATAGTTTATATGGCGCACCCTGCTTTATGGCCTTTGTTAAAATTGCTGTAACTCCTGATGTGATGAGTGGTTAGCAAAATGTAATTTGATTGGTGTGGGGTTGCTGTACCGTATGATACGTGAGACTCCCGGAGGTCCAATGTCGCACTGAGGATGTCTAGTACAGTCCTCTCCTTAAAGATATCCAATTATTGCACAGGTTAGGAGCATTTACCTTATCAAACCCTAACTTAGCTGATTCTGCTGGGGCATCAAATGTGTGGAATGGCTGGGCAGTCCTCTAGAGAGGACATGCAGAGTTTACAGAAATGACCTGTAGTCATTACAGCCATTCAAAATACAGTCTATTTGGGCGGGAGTTAAACTCCTTTTAAAACGGCATGTTTAACCGCGGCTGTTTCCCTTTCGTGTGAATCAAACCGTGACAGCCGCCAGAAACGCGAGTCGTAGATAGACTCGCTTCCAGTTTCTATAGCGTACACCTGATGTTTTTGCTGTGCCATTATAACGCTGGACAGACTGGGGGGGGGCACAGTGCCACTTGGTCTGGGACGTTTTCCAAAGATTTTCCAAAGTTTTTTCCCCTCTTAATCTCAGCTGCAGTGGCTCTTTAAAAAGCGTTTAACGTGACAATCGAGGATTGCAAACCTTCCCATTTTTAATGTAGTGGGCTGTAGGCTACTATTTCGTACGTTTTAAATGTATCATTTCTGGTCAATTCATATACATTTACGCAAATATTCTGATTTATGGAATGATGTACAATTTTATATATTTTACGACGGTTCTGTAAATTTGCTGCCCTGATGACAGTGTTGTTCTGTACACACCTCCTCACCCCTAGACGTTTCTTACTCTCTCTCCTTAACAGCTCTGAAATATGCTTACTGTGCCACAGCCACGCCTTGCCATCGCTGAACTGTGTTTTTTTTTTCCATTTATCACGATGTGCACAGTTTTCAGGACATCTGCGGACACTGACAATGATAGAGTGCTGGTCACTGAGGCAGAGTAAATACCATTCATGGCAAATGTCTAGGGGCACATTGCACTAATGCATTATTTGCCTGTATGCTGTTTTCTATAAAATGCTGAGTAATTGTCTTAAAAGTCTTGCTCCTTGACCCTGCTTTCCCACCGCAGTATTATTTTAGTATAGTTACTAGGCTGGCTGTTGAGGACATTTACTACTGCACCAGTTTAATGCGGCAATAGTTTTCATGAGGCAAAACTTTAAAAAAATACGTCCCGGAATATCTATGGAGACGAAAACGCCAATGAAACATCAGTTTGTTGCCGCCTACTTGTCTACTAAATCTCCCGTTATAAGTAATAACGTAATTTTATCAATAAGTGGCATGCGTGAGCCGTCAAAGCGTATAAGTTGTTGTTGTACTGTTTTTGCTTTTTCTGAAATAATAATAATTTCTCAAAGCTGCATTGCGGAGCCGCGCGCTCCCACCCAATAAGCTGCTCGCTCTCAGTCTCAGTTTTTCACTTTGAATGTGGATCGTTTCTAAAGAAAAAAAATCCTGACTACAGTCATAATGATATATTTTGAATATATAATACTCAAAACCCCTTTACTGTATGTAATTATTTTCTAAATGGTTTAATGTGTCATACATGTTTATTCGCCGTTCCTGAGCTTGCAAAGGCAGCGTATCACTGAGGCGGGTCTAATTATGTAACTATTTTGAAAATTATTCTACCTGACTGTGACATGCATATTAATGTCTCTTTTCACATTTTCAGGTTCTGTTTACATTACGTTTGTGCATATCGCTGGTTGCGCAGTTAACACAATCCAACTTTGTATGACAAAAAAGGAAAACAGCCAGTAATGTGGAAGCACCTTTGGAATATTCTGGTGTGACGTAGACAGGGGCATAAGACCCCTAACAAAATGTCATCCTTAGGCCTCTTTTATGGGGCTGGCACTTTCAGTCTGATGAAATACGGGTCCCCCACAGTCGACCAATCGGGCAAGGTGTATCCGTGCTACTCTAACACCCCAAAATGGACAATACCATAGCAAATGTTACAGTGCCACAGTCGTCTGAATAATATGAAGCAATAGGTGTCATGTGTCCATCTTTGGGGCATTGAAATCGTTTGAGCTCATTGCAGGATTGTCAGATATATAAGTCACAGGTCATTCCGTGCTGCTATGGTCTTCATTGTCATTAAATCACTTCTGCATGTAACAAGTTGCAGAGTGGAGGTCGGTGTCGGTTAATGTCTACCACATTCAATCTTAAATTTTGGGCTATGAAAGCGATAAATATTTGCACAAGGCACCCCGCTTCACAAACACCTGCTATGGCACTGTGAACTGAAGAGTGGGTAGTGATTTAAGGGACAGTGAGGTTGGTTGTCACACGTTTTATTCGCGCCCTCGACAGCTTAAGCTCCATTTATTGTATAACAAACGACACTAATTGTTTCTCTATCTTTCGCTTTGTGGAATATCAGCCGAATGGAAGAGAGCTGGGTGTCGGTGTGTTTATTAGTGCCTGCAGACACTCCTGGCACCTAGAGGCACACTGGCACTGAACGCACCTGCCGCGCAGCCCCCCCGCCCCGGCTGTCTCACTCTCTGTCTGTCTTGCTAAACAAGTGCCTCTGCATGGAAAGCAGGTTGAATTGACGTCGTCGTGATGAGAGGGCAGGGGCACCGATGGCAGATTTTGGAGCCCTAAAAAGTTACCGTGCCCCCTGAATCTGCCAGGACGTCCACAGGGTTTGAACCCTGCCCTCTCCATGTGTCTCCGTCTTCCTCTGGGTTTCCTCTGGATGCCCTGATTTCCTCCAACCAAGATTTCCTGATGGCTGAATCGATGCCCATCTTATGCAAGAATGTGCACATATATGCCGTGTGATGTAGTGGCATCGCGTCAGTGCGTACCCCAATCTTACGGAGTAGCATCGCGTCCAGTGCGTACCCCAATCTTACGGAGTGGCATCGCGTCCAGTGCGTACCCCAATCTTACGGAGTGGCATCGCGTCAGTGCGTACCCCAATCTTACGGAGTGGCATCGCTTCCAGTGCGTACCCCAATCTTAAGGAATGGCAACGCATCCAGTGGGTACCCCAATCTTATGGAGTGGCATCACGTCCAGGGCGTACCCCAGTCTTATGGAGTGGCATCGCGTCCAGAGCGTACCCCAATCTTATGGACTGGGATAGGTTCCAGTGACTCAAAAGTGGCAGAATTATGAAGAGGCCTAAGTTTATTGGTGGCCAGATTAATACTTTCAACATCTTCTTGGGGATATGGGACAGGGCCTTTTTTGGTGACAATCATTTTCAAGTTTTAATAACTATAAAATATCTTACATCCTGTTCTTTTTAAATGTGACAATCAAATCCTGTGACAACCAACTCCAATCTCCCATTCTCCACCCGCTTTTATTAGTGTATCTAATTTGACCTCTTTTTATGCCTGTTCTATTATTCATAATAATATTTCATGGCTTAGCGAATGCAATTTTTCAGTGCCATTCATAATTTTACCAGTTTTTACTACAACAATTGCGGCTTAGTATCTCGCTCAAAGGTCTAACAGCTGTGCCCCAGTGGGATGTCAGCTAACTTCCTTATTGCTTTACAAGGCTGTGGGAGCGCACCACTCCACATTCCTCTGTGTGTATTCGTTTGATGATTTAGAGTTAAGAATTAAAACAGGACAGATCCCAGTAGGATCCATCTGAGAGACGCTCATCGGCTTACATGCATCATGGGTGGGGCATGTCCATACTATGGAGCGTTGAGACAGGGTAAGCTGATGTGACAGGGCAGAGTGATGAGTAAATCTCGTGTGTCTGTAAAGTCACTGCCCCTGTAACATGCAGATGTGTCACTGCAAGTGCTACGCATGCATTTCTGCTGATTCTTCATATGCACAATTTATCTGCATCTTCTCCCATTTTCTTTGAGATTGATGAGACTTATATGAATTGGGTTATCCTCCCCAAATCCATAGTTCTTTCTTTGACAGAGAGTAGATGCCTCGACGTTGCCCAGATCCGTTGCCATGGTAAGCGAAAACAAACCATGTCTATCAACTTATTTCTAGTATGCGTGGTCTACAGGATGCGTGGTCTGCAGGATGCATGGTCTACAAGATGCGTGGTCTACAGGGGCATGCGTGTTGCAGCTTCTTGGGTCTTTTTTTCTTTTCAAAGACGCGTATCGAGCTGTACAGGAGAACATTTCCTTTCCTTCCTTGAGCAGAGGCCTTAGATGTTCTCGTTCTGAGTCGCACGATGATTTTCTATTTTCTGGCTTTTTCAGCCTCATTGGAGTACCTGGTGAGTTTTCCTAATGATACCACAGTGTGACCTTGGAAAAATAATGGGAAAGGAACAGTGTTGGAAAATGTTTTGTTGTCCTGTCAATCGTTATGGTATTTGTGAGGCGTAGGGAAGAAACCACGACAAAGACATTGGCAATTTTTTTAATTATGACAATCTTACTAATAAATACTACTTAAATGCAAAGTCACTATGAATATTATCAAATGATGGCATTGTCAAAGGTAACAATAATAACGTGATAAATACTGACTAAAAATAATATCGAAGAAAATATTATGAAGCCAAAATGTCAATGAAAATCTGTAAAAAAGCTACTTTTTGTAAATTCTTCTGTGCACAGCCTATTAAAGATTGAGACTGTATCAGTTGTTCATCCTTCATATGGAGACCATTGTATGCAACTCATGTTTGTGACAACATGTAGTGCTAGATGTCAACATAATAATGGAACAAGAAAGCACTGTAGGCACCTAAACACACTTGAAGAACAGATTAAAGTTACCCCCACCCCAAATCATCTGTTCACTCAAAATGATTGGGGACATTTTCAAGTAGGCCTATGTTTCGATGAGACCTGCAGGAAGACGCAGTTGGACATCCAACCTGGCCTACCGTAAGTCACCTCACAAGCCTGTCACTCAAGCCGATCGTTCAGGAAGCGCTTTGCGGTACTTATTCTGCACATATCACAGTTACTCTCTGCTAACTGTTACTCTCTGGGTGCACATTCATTCTAACGACATCAGATGCCTGCAGAATAGACTTGCAGTTTGAATGATTATCAACTGTGATATAATAATATATGGACAGTACCAGAGTGCCGTTGCAAGCTGGGTAATAACTGGCCTCTCTGAAGTTGGAATCCCACATGAAGCATGCTGAACAGTCGTTTGAGCAAGCACAATATTATCTGAAGACCCGCAAAGTCTTTATGTTGTAGTTTGGTAGTTAATTGGGTAGACAGCTAATTCATAGCAACATATGACTAGCAGCAAAACAACCACATATAACTACATGTCCCACAGTAGAATGTTTGTGTATTTACTGAGAAGCATTAGTGTATTGGGCAGATATACTGACAACAAAATAATAAATAGCTCTGGAATTATACTGGGGTACAAACTAAAGATGTTTTACTTACCAACATAAGTGGGCAGCCTTGGATGTCCAACCCCGCCTTCCCGCAAGAGAGGTTTCTCAACATTTCCCCTCTTTGTGATGAGATCCACCCCTCAGATACACACATAGACACATATACAGGGCGCCAAAAACTATGACTGAGACTTACTATGTTGTTTGTCTAACGAAACCTCAATTTATTGATGGATGTGTATTAACTGTAATAACGAAGAAGCTAACATGTCATCCCTTATTTAACGCAACAGAGGGCGCTCTATATCAGGCTATCTTCAGTGCATAAAACCGTAAGGGGACCCAGTCTATGATCATCATTCATCTTTACAAATTGTCGTTTTTATTTTTATTACAAATGCATAAGCAACGTAACCCTTGTTTTAAACGTTCATTACGAAATCATTGTCATATATTTAACGCCAACGATTTGCTTACCTTTTCTTGAAGTATTTCTTTAAGGTGCCCTTTTAGACGACATCCAAAGATCTGGTGCAGTATTTCTGTGTATGCTTTGGGTGAAACAGTGGATTGTTACGTTTCAGTCTTTCAGATAATATTTCACGTCTCAGCTGTTCCTATGCATTTGTGTGCATCCAGCGGTAACCTTTAAGAGTGAGTCATGCAGATGCAATTTTTCTTATTGGATTTCGGCTAAGTAACTAATATTCTGGTTGCAAGCATCTGCAGGTACATGAATAGTGGGGAGGAGGAGCACACTGCATCAGAACCCATCAAATTACATAATATGTAATAAAACGTTCAGATGTAGCCTTTCTCTGAGAATATAGGTAGTCTTTCCACACTGTATTGCAGTAACAATGAACGTAAATGATTTGTGCGCTCTAGAATTGGCCCCTATTCTGAGACATAGGCTACCGGAAGCCCATCCATGCTGTAAACTTTTGTAGCACATTTGATGGTTTGGGGGGGGGGTCTGGAAATGGTTTAAGTTGCAGCATATAATGACTACCCGTCTACATTCGCTCCATATTCGCAGCAAGCTTACAGCCGCACCACATCGAGCGACCACCGTAATAAGCATATGCTGCCGCCGGCATCCCTGCGGCTTAGTAACCACTGGCCAGTTGTCCTGTCAATCATAATTTCAGGAGCCCAATGTGACCACACACAGAGCACGATGGGCGTTGCCGAGCTGTGAGTGGCACTGCCATTGGCTGAGGAGCGAAAAGCCGTCTGTGCATGGCGGTGTGGTGTGTGCGGAGAGGGGGGCGATGTACAAATGGTACACCGGGTTTAAAAGCCGGGGAGCGTTTTACCGCAGTATCACTACATTTCGGTACCTAAGACTAGTAGTCTGCAGCCGTTAGGGTAATTTAAAACAGGGATAAATACCTTTAGAAAGTAGCACGGTATATCAACAGTTTGTTCCCAGAAAAAAATCTGTCTAGCGGTTTATAAATCATTATTCTAAAACATCAAGTTTTTACTAACTGCCGATTTATCCGCAGGAAATTCACCCGTTTTTTTTTTAACGGCGGCATTTGTTGTTGCTGCACATAAAAACACTGCTATCATTTATCAATAATTTTATTAATCCTATTTTGGGGGCGCGGTAGCATAAGGCGTAAGGCGACCGAAAATGGCAAAAGAGGGTGAAAAGAAAACGTGCGGCCAGGTTTTAGACGAGTGGAAGGAATTCTTCTGGAATCCGAGGACACACCAGTTTCTGGGCAGGACGGCGAGCAGCTGGGGTGAGTGACCACCATGCGCTAACCAACCCATGTATAAACATAACCATGCGCTAATCAAACCATGTACAAACCTAACCATGCGCCATTAACCAATTGCATCACCCCCGCCCCAAAAAACGTATCGAAAAAATGTTCATATAAGGCCAGAATCGCTAAAGCCTGTAGTATCTTGCATTTAAATTGGGTTATGGATTTTGTACCCGTTAATTAACTGAGATCCAATGAAGCATGCGAGCCTTTATGTACCTGAATATACTAGAACAAAATGCATTTTTCCTTTGAAATGTAATTTGTGATCCGCCTGCCTATCTCCTAAGCTTTCCCTTGGCACTGTCTGTGTGGCACTGAATCTCACCATAAGGGTTTTACTGCGGCATGTATGTGTTCGGACGATGCCAGCTCTCGCTGCTTCATTCCCCCCCCCCCTGCATAAGTCGCTCGATGGTCGTTTCATTCAATCGCAACACCCTACATTTGCATCCGATTAGGGGGCAGATTTTGTCCAGTGCGTTACAGCTTATTAAATAAGATGGTTTTTTTATATATATAATTCATCAAGCGATAGACAATTTATCATTTAATGCGGATTACTGTAGCGTGTCCGCAACCCCCCGCTCTCTCGTTTTCCCTTTTCCTCTCCATCCTTTCTACGTGCGATTTGCAAATATATATATAGATATCTATCGAAGATGCATACGTATATCACCCGATTAGCGAAAATATTAAAAGGCTGCATCGCTGGATATGTCCCAGTTTCGGGGAGGTGGCAAGCGGAGCACAGACTGTCCGCTGTATGGCGTTTTTCAGGCGATCTGCAAGGAAATCGATTTTGTATCCGAAAATGTGTAAATGCGTGCTGTACAACTGTATCAGCAATTTACATTTTATAACTCACCGGCGTACACACACACACACACACACACACACACACACAAAAGCGAATTGTTATAACACCCTTCAATTCATTCTCTCAGAATTTGCTGACACACCGACTGTGCTTTTCGTTTTTATAACGCGGGATTATACGCGGCTTCATATTAAAATCGATCCATGAACAGGTTCATTGAATTAGTTGCTGTTCCCTTGTAAGGCCATTTACCCTTAATGAATCAAATGAAGCGGAAGGAGAGAAGAACAGAGATGGGGAAACACAGAAGATATTTTTGTAGTGGTTTATTTTTGGGGAAAATAATGCAGAAATTGGAAGAAGTTATAATTAAAAACACACATTTACTAATTATTTATAAATCCAGGATTGGCATAAATATGGAGAGAGCGTACGAGGGGATTTGTTGAGATGAAGCAGAGAGAGAAGCATTTGGACGGGGAGTAGGCAGAGCTGCAGCTGGAGGAGGTGGTGTGTGTGTGTGTGTGTGTGTGTGTGTGTGTGTGTGTTGGATTTGGGTGTCAGCTTGCAGGTGGCAGTAGGGTAGGGCTCCTTCCTTTTCCATGTATTCGGACAGAGTGTCTGCATGAACGGCAGTAATTGTTATAACCATCCCAGAGTTAATAGCCAGGATCAGCAGCCTGCCTCGACTGCTGAGTGATTCCTTTTTTTCCCCTTAATGTGGCTCCTCGTGTCATATTCAGCAGCTGCCTTAATCTGGCTCGACATCAGCAGAGAGTAACAGCAATCAGGCTGCCAAGCATGCTATCTAAAAAAGAAAGGGGCCTCTACCTCGACATGCACCAGTGTGTCTGTCAGTGATATGGCAGCAAACAAATTCACGTGATGACAAAAAGCATTGAATATCGCAGACATCTGTCAGGGTTGGGGCTTGGTCACGCCAGCCATGTCGCCATTCAGCCCAATCTCTAAAGCAGAGTCACTCGTTAAAGCTTGAGAAGGAGAAAGGGTGGTTTCTTCAGTGGGGTCAGAGGTTTATGAGTGCTAGCTGAAAATGGTGTTACGAGGGCCTGCTCCTGGTGTGATCTCCAAAGGTCTTTGATCATTGGTCATGGCTCTGAATCAACCCAGACCATTATCTTCTCATTTTCTTTGTGCATACTGGAGAAGTTGGTTGAAGTTGAGCAGGGCTCGTATTTGAAATAAGATGGACTGCAATGGATTGGTGTCTCATTCGGCTTGTCCTTTGTCTTGTGCCCTGGATAGACTCCCCAGCCTTGAGTGATGACGGGGGTTCATTATATGGTTGAGGGCTTAAGGATCAAAAGAGACAGGGCCATATGTTCTGGCCCTTTGTACAGCAGATAATGATGATATTGATGCTGCCAGCCTTGGTGACCTCAATGGCTGTTGGGTTTAATGAAGTTTTCTACTTAGGTTGGACCTCAGAACCATCAAGGAGGAGCACAGTGCAGTGAAATAGTTCATCTGACTCTACGTTCTCCTACCAGGAGTCTGAGGTTCCTCCTGAGTAGAGACCAATATGAAAAACCCACAGATACCTTTAATGGGACAGAACATGCAAACATTAACACTACAGAGCACAAACGAAAGGTCTTTTTTTAAATCTCAAAATATTCATCGTCCCTTGAGCTGTGACATACCGCCGCATTCCTGCGTGACGCACACTTCCCACCCGCCCCAGGCCCAAACAATCCAGTACCGGTCCGGCCTTCCCTCCTTCGAGAACAGCCACGTCCTACACCAAGCTTTCTCCTTGCCTCAGGCTGGGTCACGCATGCTTGGTTGGGCCTACAGAAGGCTGGCTGAGGAAGACGGGCCCCCAGAATGAAGTAGGACATGTCCATCCTCATTACTCTGACGTGGAGGCCGTCTCTCTACAGGCTGCTGGGTGGTTACCTTACATGAGGTTGTTTTACGTTGCAGATTTAGTCAGTTTTAATTTTAAATATGGTGCCTCCCTTTCTTTCCATTCCTCATTTTTACAGGAGACCTGATTCACTTCCCAAAAGCCATCATCTAGGAAACAGATATCTGGGACATTTATAAATTAGAAAGTGGTGGGGGGGGGGGCAAACTGCTGACACATAATGTTGAATTGTTGTTGAACTGAGAGAAGATAAATGCAAATGCATGTCAGAGATGTTATTGGAGATATAAAAAAACACAGGCAGACGCACATTTCCAAACTCAAAATGCAAAAGCTATGCTTTCTGTCCACAGTCAGCAATATACAATATCTTTGGATGTGTAGGACATCTTGGAAAGAATATAATGAAATTGTTGTCATTTTTTGGATGGAAACTTCTCCCTTCAAGCACAGTAATGTGAAATGTACTCCTTAATTTAATTGTTGTCTCAATGTTCTCCCTGTGTGACTGTGTACTATATTATAAAATGCAATCTCAATGAAATTGTTCCTCACTTATGTATATATCATCTGTTCAGGGTTAGTAGCAATCACATGGTTCTCAGGCGTTACCGTTCAGTGGAGCCGTATTAATTAGTGTGTTTTTGTTGTAGTTGAAGGGGCAGAGAGTGAGTCAGTCTGAGAGGCTTAGGGTTGTAGGAGGCGACTGTAGACAGAATTCCCGTGGTGTTGCTGGCCATAGACATTACTGGCGGCGTTTCAGTGATGCCTTACGCTCCTGTTACTCTACGCCGAGGGAACGAGCCGGGGACGGAAGAGGGGGAGGAGGACAGATGGGGACGGAATGGGAACAGAGTCTCGGGGGAGGGTGCAGACCTCAAACACACTCCCTCAGACTGTCAGGCCCCTTCGCTGCTGCTTCAGCTGTGCTGAAATGGCTTCAGCCTCCTGGCCGCAGTCCTTTGCTGACATTGTCTGTTATTCATACATTTATTCTGTCATTTATTTTCGCTGAGGTGTGGATAGCTAGGTAGGCAGACACAGATTAGTTTTGCAACAAATTACAGACTGCTGTTTTTGGGCTTCGCATTTGTACTGCTGCTGGACAGCAGCGGTCCTCTCCCAGGAACTCTTAAATTTGATCTTAGCCATTTATTCATTTACAGATTCATCATCATCTCAGTGGGGGAAAAAGGTCTTGTAGGTAGTGATTTGTATGAAATGGTGAGACCACATTAACTTGTACTCATCAATTATGGCTGAAGGGCCTTGGTATGTTTGTGATGGTAAATTACTTGTCATTTTGGATGCAGATGTTTGCCAAATATATATAAAATGCTAACTAATCTAAATAATATCATCCTTGTGTGCAAGGGCTGGAGTGTGAGGACACCTGCTTTGGGTCAGTGTGCCTGTGTTTCTGTGCCCTGTGCTCTGTGCCCTGCACTTGGCACATGAGTGACGGGCTTAGCCATTAAAGGAGGATTTAAGCTCAATAAGGTGTCACATTGTAAACACTTAGAAGAGCATCTACTCCCGCCGGGATTTTGTTGTAGATGGAAACACCCCCCCTTCCTCAGGAGGGCGAGCGGGTGAGCAGCCCTGCCCTTGCGAACCTGAAAGGGAATCGGAGAGCTGCATCACCAGGGCCGAGAGGTGGGCGGGGTTAAAGAGCGATGATGATTGGGGCAGAGAGGTGGGCGGGGTTAAAGAGTGATGATGATTGGGGCAGAGAGGTGGGCGGAGTTAAAGAGCAATGCTGATTGGGGCAGAGCGGAAGATGGAGTTCACCACGGATACTGGCAGAGGCAGGGGAGGGGGGATGCTGGTTGGAGGAGCATGGAGAGACAGGTGGTGGGGATAATCCTAGCGGACACAGGAAAACACAGCGTACCACCCCTGCCCCCCCCAACCACAACCCCAGCCATACTCTATCTAGGAGAGGAGAGGAGTTAAAAGGGGGAATAGGGACAATGAGACCAGTAGAGAGAGACCAGGAATATGGAGAGATGGAAAGAGGCCAGAGATTACAGCTTTGCTGGGTTCTGCCTTTTCTGAGTGTTGATGTTTGGTCAGTGAGGGTGTTTGCTCTGTGTTTGTGTCAGTGGCGTCGTGACCCATTTTGTAGAGTTGAGCTTAACTGATCGTGTCGACATAAACGAGTAGCCTCTGTTCCATAAGCCTGCACCTTCTGCTCCGTGGTCCTACACTTACCTCGCCGGCCAGGCCTGCTGCTCAGCTCTTCGGCCAGCTATTTAACATCAAGCCCAGTTGTAGTTATAGGCTGAGTTATGAAACAGTCCTATTTGCATGTGCTGTCTCCCGATGTTGCGTGGGTTTCCCCTCAATGTCCACAGACGTGCAGCTAGGCCATTTTGCCATCTCTAAATAGCCTGTAGTGTGCGGCTATGCATGTGTTTCCTGCCACAAGCCGGAATCCCATCCAGGGTGTCCCCCTGCCTTATGGCACAATAGCTACTGGTGTTTCTGTCCCACACAACTGAATAAGAGTTAATGGCATCGTTCAGTTTCTACAGCAGGAAACAGCAGTCAGATATACCCAGTGTGTGATTGTTTGTTTAGCTAAGTTTTCATTAGCATTGGGCTAGTTTTGTGTTATATGCCCTGTAGCTGGTTGATAGATGACATGTAGCATTCGGATAGACTTGCCTCAGGAGCATTTCTGTCGTACCTTTGGGGAAATTACATAGCCTAATTTAGGGACGTTTTGAGTATTTTTGGACTAGGGTATCTGCTGACTCTAGTAATGCACTGCTGTAAAAGTGGTTCAGTAAAATGTGTGTGTGTGCATGTTTTTTTTTAAATCTCTTTTTCATACAGTAAGTGTAAAACTCTGCTCCTCTGTGTCATTCCAGGTCTAATCCTGTTCTTCTATCTGATCTTCTACATCTTTCTGGCGGGTATGTTTGTCCTCACCATGTATGTGATGCTCCTGACCCTGGACGAGTACAAGCCGACCTATCAGGACCGGCTGGCCACCCCCGGTATACACAGCCACGATCTCTTAACACTCATGCAATACTGCGACTCTACAAGCGTGACGGGCTGCTCCACTCTCCCGTACACTTACATGCACACCTACGTAACTCTTCCTTGTAGGCATGATGATCCGGCCAAAAGGCAAATCATTGGAAATCATCTACAACTTGGACAACACTGAGACCTGGGATGCTTATGTACAGACTCTGGACAACTTTCTGGCCCGTAAGTAGGAATATATACCATATATAATATGGTATTTCAATGGTATTTCATGTAGATGCAGATGTAAGACAACACACGTGTAGGTTGGGGTGGATGAGATGGTAGATTTGTGAACAGATATATGTACAGGCGGATGTTGCACTGAGGGTGCAATGAACAGATTTACTGTTAGATTTGTAAACTGTTATGGCACCAAAGGTGAAAGTTGTTGAATAGGTAGGTAGATAGAGAGAGAGAGACTTCATTCATCACAAAGGAAATTGCAGTTTTACAGTAGAACAACACACTTATAGACTGTAAAAAAAAACTCTTACACATCAATAGGCAGAAAAAGTAAATAAATGAATAATATGCCTGTTGTCAGCTGAATAAAGGCACGTGAAACTGAAATCAGGCCAGTGATCTGAATGTGAGTGAGAGACAGTGTCGCTCTTCTCCACCCCAGCCTACAACAACTCGGTGCAGGTGATGAACAATGACGCCTGCCTCCCGGACCAGTACTTCATCCAAGAGGACAGTGGCGATGTCCTCAACAACCCCAAACGCGCCTGCCAGTTCAACCGCACCATGCTCCTCAACTGCTCCGGCATCGAGGACCGTTACTATGGTTACCTGGATGCCAAGCCCTGCATCCTCATTAAGCTTAACCGGGTAGGTATATGATGGGGTTGGGTTTGCTCATCTGTACTGTACCTTCCAGTAGTATTTCCCATTTATTTGCATGTCTGCTGCTTGATGTATTCTAGGGCTGTGCGATATGGACCAAAAACCCATATCCCAGCATCTTTTTTTTTCCCAGAATACAGGTTATATATTTTGGTACTTTCTATGAAGTAGGCTGCAGCTGTTAGTCAGAGCCACATGCAAGATGTCAGAAAAACAGAGTGTGCTCTAAATGAAGTGCAAAAACAGGGTTTTCTGCCCTGTTTGCGATACTCAGTTATAATGTAACTGAAATAAATCACCTATATTAAACAAACAATAGGTCTGTCTTTGAGAATGATCTTTCAATTGTTTTCAAAACAGTAACTGATTTAAAAATACAGTCCAACTACAAGTTTTCCTTTCATTCTGTGCAAATAACAAAAATCACAAAAAAAATACAAAATTTCCTCTGACGATGTATTTGAACATACACTCACCTAAAGGATTATCAGGAACACCTATTCAATTTCTCATTAATGCAATTATCTAATCAACCAATCACATGGCAGTTGCTTCAATGCATTTAGGGGTGTGGTCCTGGTCAAGACAATCTCCTGAACTCCAAACTGAATGTCAGAATGGGAAAGAAAGGTGATTTAAGCAATTTTGAGCGTGGCATGGTTGTTGGTGCCAGACGGGCCGGTCTGAGTATTTCACAATCTGCTCAGTTACTGGGATTTTCACGCACAACCATTTCTAGGGTTTACAAAGAATGGTGTGCAAAGGGAAAAACATCCTGTATGCGGCAGTCCTGTGGGCTAAAATGCCTTGTTGATGCTAGAGGTCAGAGGAGAATGGGCCGACTGATTCAAGCTGATAGAAGAGCAACTTTGACTGAAATAACCACTCGTTACAACCGAGGTATGCAGCAAAGCATTTGTGAAGCCACAACACGCACAACCTTGAGGCGGATGGGCTACAACAGCAGAAGACCCCACCGGGTACCACTCATCTCCACTACAAATAGGAAAAAGAGGCTACAATTTGCATGAGCTCACCAAAATTGGACAGTTGAAGACTGGAAAAATGTTGCCTGGTCTGATGAGTCTCGATTTCTGTTGAGACATTCAAATGGTAGAGTCAGAATTTGGCGTAAACAGAATGAGAACATGGCTCCATCATGCCTTGTTACCACTGTGCAGGCTGGTGGTGGTGGTGTAATGGTGTGGGGGATGTTTTCTTGGCACACTTTAGGCCCCTTAGTGCCAATTGGGCATCGTTTAAATGCCACGGCCTACCTGAGCATTGTTTCTGACCATGTCCATCCCTTTATGACCACCATGTACCCATCCTCTGATGGCTACTTCCAGCAGGATAATGCACCATGTCACAAAGCTCGAATAATTTCCAATTGGTTTCTTGAACATGACAATGAGTTCACTGTACTACAATGGCCCCCACAGTCACCAGATCTCAACCCAATAGAGCATCTTTGGGAAGTGGTGGAACGGGAGCTTCGTGCCCTGGATGTGCATCCCACAAATCTCCATCAACTGCAAGATGCTATCCTATCAATATGGGCCAACATTTCTAAAGAATGCTTTCAGCACCTTGTTGAATCAATGCCACGTAGAATTAAGGCAGTTCTGAAGGCGAAAGGGGGTCAAACACCGTATTAGTATGGTGTTCCTAATAATCCTTTAGGTCAGTGTATATCGCTGCACAAACAACATGTAAACTAAAAAATATTTTTCCACAGAAGTAGACAGTTCATGCACCAATGGACTATTTCTTCATTGAATAATGTCAGGGCTATAATTGTACGCATATTTGTTCTGTTCGGTTCAGTTGTTTTTCAGAAAGCACAATGAAATGAATGAATGCATTTCTTGACATGGGCGGAACCTAAATTCACAAGTGGATGTTCAACATGGAAAACATTATGTTAATTGTGGCTGTGAGTTGCTTACGGCTAATGTTGATTACAGTCAGTTACACTCGGCACTTTGGTAACATGGTTTTCCACTAACTTTTTGGTTTTCCAATAAATTACACCAGAGAGTGAGTAGTTAAGACCAAGCCTGGCGCTATCCTAAATTCGCATATGTTGCTGGAAACTCAACCAGCATGCTAACTGATTTGAGACGACATTATCCGAGTGACCAGACCAAAGCAGAAACAGCCTTTGCAAGTTAATCTCTCTGTGGCAATTCAGTTTCTCCACTTTTTCTAAGGCACACACCGGGTAAATGAAGCTTGCATCACGCTTTGTCTCAGGGAGGAGGCTTCGCAGTCGTGGCTGCGGCAGTTTAAAGTTTAAAACACTGTTCGTGCTGCACCTTATGTTGCTGTTATAAACGGTGAGGAGATAAGGTTACGGCACCCTCTACAATACGGTCACGCTGCTGAGCAGATATGTTAAACCAAAGCATTCTCAAATAAGTGAACCGTTATTTCACACTTACAGACCAGGACTTCCTCAGCAGTTTGGACTGTGGCTGTATCTCCCTCGATGTCGCAGAAGTTGTGAGTGAGTTGGGGCGAGTTACACACAGAGCGAGAGAGTAGAAAGATGCAAACTCTGACAGATTTAGAACAAAGTTTAAAAAAAAATAAATAAGTAAAAGTATACAAATATAAACAGCTTGACCTCGTCCTGTATTTAGTTTTGAAAATATACCGATATACTGTAAAAAGTATATATAGGGCCTTGCCTTAATCTACCCTGCCCCGCGTTGCCGTCCTTGCTGCCTGTTATTTGGCTGTTGCTTTTCTCTGTTGCTCATCCTCCTTCCTGGCCTTGTTGTTTTCATGCCGCACTCTTCCTCACCATGCTGGACTTCCAGCCACCCCGTCACAGGTCGCTTTCTTCATCCCTATCCTACAGCCCCCTGCCCACCCCCCCCCCCAGCTTCGCTACCTCGCCCCCAACACCGTACTTCTCTCCAGTGCCCCAGAGGTCTAATGCTGTCATTCCTGTTGTCTCTAAAATCCTTCTTCCCAGATAATTAGCAGTAATTGCTGTGTTTTGGATTCATCAGCTCAGTTCTTGCTCTTTTTTGCCTTTTTGTTCCATCCAATTCCCATTGTCTTTAGCTGTAGGGTTTCACTTCCATTGCCCAAGGTTCTGCTATTTCCAGAGTTTTTCCAGTTTTGGATTTTTGCCATTGGCATCATTGCCATATTTTGATTTTATCCATATGTTATAGATCTGAGCATGGGCAATGTCTGATTTTTTGATACCATAATACCGTCAGGACATTATACCACGGTGTATAGTATTTAAACAGTATCTTCAAATGCAGTGCTATTCCAATATTTTGAAATCTTGGCAATAAAATGTGCTGAGTGGGGAGGGGGGGGATTCCCTGGGGTCCCCACAATACAATTTGCTGACTGGGGTATATAAATATTGCAGATTGGTAAATTTTGTCACTAAGATATAAAAAAACACCAGGGTATGCCCAAAATTCCGCAGTACACCATGTTATCGTTACGCCATCCAAGCCTAAATGCTTGCTTCTTTCTCCAGTTCCACATATTTGATATAATACACAGAAATAATGTGCGTTCAGTGTAGTATCACTTACCAAAATCAATACAGTCGTGCATCACTTACTGGCAAGCATACTTCCAAGAAATGCGTCATTAGTATGGAATCAGATTTGTGCCGATATTATCAAGCACTGATGTCACTTTCTTGACATCAAGCAAAAACAAGGCTTTGAGAAGAAAAAAAACTAACTGAAGCAAAAGAAATGTCATCTCAAAAGTAAAATTTATAACTTGCAAACACGATGTTTTCCTTTGTGTACGCTGCCAGCTTTCTCGCTTGCGCTGACTGTCCGTGGCACTGACCTGTCAGTCAAAAACTTATTAGCCAATGGGGACGCGTCCCTGAAAAAACCCGCCCACATGAGAAATTTGTGTCAGAATTGTAAGCAAAAAGTCAGGTTTGCTTGATAATATTGGAACAAATCTGATTCCATACATTAGGCGATTGTGAGAACATCACAGGGAGTACTTACACAAGCCTAGGTGGTATTGCCTACTACATACCTAGCTTATGTGGTATAGCGTAAAAAATGGTTAGTGAAAACAGGTGCTAATGTAGGTCTTTCATAAAAGCGAAGTAGCGTAAAGCAAGCATTTGTAAAGCAGGGGATACCTGTATACCGTTTTATAGTCTCTTAAACTCTTGGCCATCCACCGGCTCCCAGTTTCTGACTTAGCCGACTGTGGCCTATTGAGCTATATTATTGAAAATTCCTGATATTATTAATTCCTGAAGCCCTCTACCTGTTCAGCTGGTGAAGGATGTTGACACGCTATGGAATGCTGTGGAGTTTACCCACTTAACGGTGACTTATTCCCGCTGTTCAGGTCATCGGGCTGTTGCCAGGGAGGGACGGCATTTCTCCGTATGTCAGCTGTGGGGCCAAGGTGAGTATCTGCGTACCGTCTGTCTGAGATCCCAGGCTACACTTCCTCTTAAAAGTGGAATATCACTGTGGTTCATGGTTTTTGTTTTGTATTGCAATGGAATTATTTTCTCCTGGATGACAGTATAGTTAAATCCACCGTCTCCTACGAGCCACCGATGTTTTCTAATATGCAAAATTAAACCGAAGTGATGGAGTTGAACCTAGCCTTGAAAAACCTGAGTCATTGTTACCCATGCAGCTTATCGCCATCAGTATTTATGTATTTTATTCTTCTGTTCATCTTCTGTCCTCATTCTGTAGTTGAGTCTTACTTCCCCACACTTTCATTTGTCCACCATTATCCATTATCACTCTCCACCCTCGGACCTGCAAATTGAGCAGAGACGATTGGATGAGGAGACTCTTGGTGGAGATGTAGAGAAGCTACGTTGTGGACTATACCATTGATAGAGTAGCTCAGTTATATAGCCATGGATGGAAATGGGAAATCTTAAACACTTTAGTACCATGAATTAAGTGTCTACATCTTAGATGTTGTAGCACCATGAACGGCTTGGCTGACTCATGGACACATTTGGAACCGTGAATTTAATGTGTCTGACACATAGATACTGCAGTACCTTGAATGTGTGGTGATTAGTAGGGGCAGTGAATATTTTGGAAATTGAGTTGACCTTACCTCTTTGTGCCAACAGAAAGAAGACGTTGATAACATAGGTGAGCTGGAATACTATCCACCCAACGGGACCTTTAACCTCATGTACTTTCCCTACTATGGCAAGAAGGCCCAGGTAAGAGCTATGGTGCTATGGTGTGGTATTCATATACCATCCCCACGTGAAGCAATAATCTTGACTATCTTGGAAAAACAGTGCATGTCAAGGTCTGGGATATATTACACAATAGGCTAACATTCTGTACTTGTCAACATGATGAGTGCAGGAGAAATGAGCACCTGGACCTCTCCCAGCAGGTACTCCTCAAGGTTGACCATGAACACCCAGCAAGCCTCGCCCTTTCAGAGACGCTCTGACCCAGTAATCTGGCCATAGTGATTTGGCTCTTGTCAAAGTCACTCATATCATTACTCCTGCCCATTTGTTCTGCATTCAACATGTTGACTATGAGCACCGAATGTTAGCTTACAGTCTAATGTATCCTAGACCTTGACATGCATTGTTTTTTTGAGATAGTCAACATTTTTTGCTTGGCTTGGGCGTGGTCATGTTTTGGTTCATCGGTGTACATATTCATATATATATTCATTCAGTAATATTAGTATTAAGTTCTTGCGTTGTTGGAAAATAATGGCTAGCTCTTGCTCCAGTTTTACTTACACTCTCTTTGGAAGTTCGGCCTAGTAGCACTTGTGCCCAGCCGACCCCTTAACAGCATGTATGTTTGCAATGTGCTGTTTCTCATTTGTACGTCGTTTTGGACAAAAGCTTCTACTAAATGAAAGTAAATGTAAATGTATTCATCATTCATTTCAGAAGATCGAGATTCCCACCTTAGTTCTTTAAGCGTTATCTACCTTTGTCTTTTCATTTGCTTAACGTAATACGCCTTTGGGAAGCTTTAAGAGCTGGATAGACGACAGAAAGTGTTACGCTGGGGTAGCCTGGGATTTAATTATGATCAGAAGTCCCATGCTCGAAATACTGAGCTCTGAGTACTGCTCAAAGCTTAGCCTTGTTCCAGAACCTCCTATCCAGGCAGTGGCTCCATCCCCAGTGGTCACCAGCTTTCTATAGCTTCATGAATAGAGAGATTGTTGGGCAGCAGACCTGGCAGTATGGCTTGAACAAGGTGACCTTTTTTCGTTACTGTTCCTCCAGGTGAATTACTCCCAGCCCCTGGTAGCCGTGAAGTTCCTCAACATCTCGCTGAATACAGACGTCAACGTCGAGTGCAGGATCAACTCCAACACCATCAGTCCCCAGAGCGACAGGGACAAGTTCGCCGGACGCGTCTCCTTCAAGCTGCGGATCAACAAATAGGCCGTGTTCGCCTATACAGCATGCACATTCTCATACCCATTCTCATGACTTCCACCCCCATCACCATCCTGCACCTCATATTCACCAACCCCCACGTTTGGTGGCTCCTTGTAACTGTAATCATCACGTTAGCATTAGCCCCACATTGCTTGGTCTGTCACCAAATTTGATTCCGCTTCTGCAACTGGCAAGCATTAGGAACTGTCAAGTCGTACCATCTCCCACACTATACCATCTAAACTAGTTCCTCCAGTCTATAAGCCCCCCTCCCAATCCCATGATCCCATTACCAGTGGAATTGTACCTGGTGACTGACACTAAACCAATGCATTGGAGCCAAATAATACAGCAATCATGTATGAAGAATCCCTTTATTTATGTTATGTGATGCATATCCCCCCCCGCCCCCACACACACACACACACTTACGATGCACACTGTGGCACACACAAGGCCCCATGTGCATCTGTATATTGTACATGTACTGATCAGCCTGTTTTGGTGTCCTTATAACCCGAAGCTCAGCTGACTGAAGCTGTGCAGTTGTGTATATCATAAATAGCATGGCTTTAACCACACGCTCTGCTCTGTCTCCACTCTCCTGAGGCAGGTTCCCCTTCACCCCTGGCCACTACATCCAGGACACCTGCTTCCAGGTGGTCAGTAGACTTGAGTTCCCTCACTTATTCCCACTGAGCACATGGGCCCTCCTAACTTAGCATCAGTTGGAGGGGGGGATGGAGACTCTGGCAACCTGGTTTGTCCACTTGAGAAGCAAACTACGTAGGCTGGAGATCCATGTCCGCAAGATTATCACTGCAACTACTGGCCACTCCAGCTTTCAGTCATGGCTCCAAGAGGCAAACCCTGTTGAAATTGAGCAGCTTGACACTCCACCCCCTTTTTAAGGGCGCTAACATTCAGAAATCCTTCCCCTTGGTAAACTTACAGACGTATTTTCATGTGTGCATACAAGCCCAGTGATGAGAGGGATTCACAGGCATCCATGGATCTAGCTGTCAATGAGAAAATGTCTACCTGGGCTTAGTATGTGTGATACCATCCCTGTCTATTTCATGCATATTGTGGATAAACTAGAAGTAGATGTCTTTATATGTATGTATTGATTTGCACTGGATTTTCACCTGTTGCTTAATATGCAATCATTACTTGAGTCATGTTTGAGCACTGCCTGCCCAGATGTTCCGAATGACTTGGTCCCTTAAGTGTCCACTTCCACTCTAACCCAAAGGTAACTCTTCATATCACAGACCGTAACGGTCGCCGTGGCAACCCTTGAGTTAAGGATCAGTGGCTGTCAGACCTCTATGTGGGGAATGTTATAGCGCTGCGTTGGGGCAGAGCAGCCACTGAGTTCTGCCACAGACAGTGCTTCTTGGCACCATGTCCCCCCCTTCCCAAATAACAGGAAACATTTTTATGGTAGTGGTAAGGTTGGAAATTTATGGCGGGTTTCACCGGTTAATGTGGATGCTTACAAGCAGGTGGAAAGAGAACCTAACCAGTAGCTACATCTACTGCACACTAGGAGCTCCCAGTTTAAGAGTAGGCTGGCACTGGATGGAACCATCTTCCAGCATCTGGGGGGGGTGACGTGACTCCCACACCAGTTCCACCCCTGTTTCTGTCCTACATTAGTATCTTCTGGTTTGTCCCTTATCTCCTTCCTTTGGGCTTTGTCTGTTTTTTTTTAGCATCTCTAAGTGCCCCCACCCCCGTAATTTACATCGGCAGTGCCGTCTGTGTCCCCCTTCATCTTCTTGGCTCACCCAGTCGACGCAGGGGGAAACCTTGGCATTTCTCCAGGAGTGACGCTCGGTATAGCCCGGTCTCCTTATCCACCTGCTTTTTCTAGAGCCTTCTTTACCATCTTGTGTTCCATCCAGCAGTCCCCCTCCCAGCCCCTTTGAACACAATTCGATGTTTCTTCAAATTCTTGTCTCCAAAGGCCAAAGGACTCAGTGCAGTCCTCGTAGGGTCCTTAAGCATAGCTGTACATCTTAGTCGGTCAGTTTCTTCCTTGACCGCATGGGGGAAATTACCGGATATCATGTTAAAATTAGTTATTTTACAGCCTGAAGCACACAGTGTGGTAGTAGAAAGACCATTGATCTGTAAAGGACAAGAGGTCTTTTTAAACCGTGGAGGGTTTTAAGAGAACTAGCCCTCCGTGTTTTATTGATGCTTGGGGCCAATAAATATATGAATATAATCTGTTATATTCATCTGTTTATTAATGACTAGCTTTTGCACGCTTTTAATGCGTTTAGCAACTTTAATTTCGTTCGTGTTTATGTTGTACTTGTAGTTGTCACCCTCAGTTTGAGTTTTAGGTTCATTCGTGTTCATTTCCTGCTCTACCGTTATTTGCGCTACGGCTTTGAATGAGAACTTGTCCTGCGATTGTCTTTGGATTGAACAAGTGCGGTTTCTAACCCCCATTCTAGGGGTTAGAAAGGAACACTAAGCATGTGACCGAACCGAGCTTCCCATTGCGTCCGTCGGTTGTTAGATTTGTTGTGGGTGTTGATCCGGCTGTGCGGAGAGACGCGTACATGTCTGTCGCTCTCCGGACGTGGCTGATTATGCTGAGGTTTAACGGCAACCTCCGTATAAATTATTTATTGAAGTGTGATTCACCTGTCTAATCACCTCAGACTTTTGAAGCAATATAGATACACACATATATACATATAGAGTTATCTAGATTATATACTTATATTTCTGCTGTGGTTGTGCTTACATATTTTATCCCTTTCTCAGTTGTTTCTAATGATACAAGAGTAATAAGCGAGAAAAATAATCGATAAATTTAAAATGTATATCTGTATAGTCTTAAAGTTTTGCCCATGCACATAGTATTATTTTAATTTTGAAAACTGGTTTCCCGCATTTTGTTGGTGTTGGAAAGACGAAAGCGGGGTTTAATTGTAATAATTGTTTGATTTTTAATTAGGTGCCAGGTTAATAATGAACGATTTGCGGGGATGTATTGGTCTGTATTTTTTTTAAGATTGCGGTATGTTGAAGAAGGCGCATTTTATTCTGTGCTGTGCCCAATTGTGTATGTTGTACACATGTTTCCGGGTTTCTGGACACATTTCTCATTCATTCCCGTCAATGATAAAAAAGCTGAATTATTGCAAAGTTTGCTTACGTAGGCTGTTCAAGTTTCGACTGCGTGACACTGCCGTGAAAATCGATCATGAACATTTTGACGGAAATGTTGCGATGATATAACATTTTGACTTACAGTCCTCTCAATGATGTTTACTTGAAAAATGTTTACATTAAATGCTGACGAAACATTTCCAACATGAAGATGCTAACAAACATTCCTCTGTATTAATCTTAGCGCAATTATTTGTGGCGTGTTTACAGCGCAGAAATGAATGAGGAAGTGTAACAAAGACTTGTTCATGAAAATGCGATTTTAATTACATGTCAGGATGTTCATTTATATTTTAAAATATTTTAGGCATATTTAATTTTTATTACCAATGATACAATTGACGTAGTATCACATCTTTTATTTTGTGTACACAGGAGAATATTACAGGCCAATAAATGTATTCATTTTGTAAGTGAAGGCCCGCTTATGATGTTATGTATGTTAACACAGCTTTGTAAACATGAAGACGAGGCGTACCAATTAATTACTAGGCCTACTAACTGCTGCATTGTTTAAGCTGTGCCGCCGTAATGTTCATATTGAGTATTTTTTTTATGGCCTTGATTTCTTTAAGTTATTGCAAACGAACATCCTGAACCACGACTCCCTCCTACAGCCGTGTTTGTGCCACATTTTGTGTGCAATTATCATCTCCAGGCAATTCATTTAAAAAACATTTTGTTTCAAGCTCATACTTTTCAAATGAACCACTTCAGGTCACTGCTGAGTTTCCATGCTGTCGTTTTTCTTTCCTTGGTCTCACTGTCATCCTGCCCTTGTTTCTAATTTTTCAAACAAAAGTGAAGGTGTAAAATACGCGATGTAATTATTAAGATAAACTGATATTTATTGCCTGATACATAAAGCGTGGAACGTGGAAATAGAGACAAATATAGACGATAACTGTAAATGAAATATGGAACATAAGGAATAAAGATTTTGTGTTTGAAAATTTGCTGTATGTGTGTTTGTGCGTCGCAGCCAGCAGTCGCCGGATTATCAAGCTCTTGCATATTTTAGCGAATCATCTGTCGCCATTTGCCTTCAAAGCAGCAGAAGAAATTCACGTTGAGAGCAAAAAAAACACGCTGTTCGGTGCCGTTTTTATACGAAGGCTGACTAGTATGGTTTCTGAAAAATGACAGCCTATGTAATAAATCCATGGGCTCCTTGTCCTTCGCGTAGATACCTTCCTCTCAAGCATCGCTCCGTTTTGTGTGGGCACTATGATCTGATGGGCGGACACACGACCCATGAAGCTGCCTGTGGGGGTGGAATGCGTGGGCTGTCGGTCCCCCTCTTCACCAGGAGCAGGATAAGGAAGCTGAGGACAGGTTCACGGCGTGCCGTTTCCTCTCCACAACCCCAGTCTATCTATCTGCATCCCAGTTAATTTGCTTTGTTCCTTCTTGCGTCACACAGAGATCCCATATTCCAGCTAGAGAGAGGGGGGGACCCGCAGCTGCATGACACAACTACACTGCAAAATCTGCTTTAAGTAAGACAATTCTTTCCATTTACAGAAAGGCAGGATGAGTGAAGGCAAGTGCCCAGCCTCTTGTCCGTGTGCTATGGTTAAAGACCAATCACATATGTAGTGTGGTCCTACTGATCCAGTATTTGGGTGCTACACTTGCATTTACAATTATTTAGCAGACGTATGCGTAAACAGCACATTACAAACATATGCGCTGTCAATGAGTCGATTATTTTCTGCCAAAAATACATATACATTACATTTTTACACGGAACAGCCTCGCATGAAATTACACATATACATATGTAAATAAACGCTGGTTTAAAAAATGCGGGAAGAGACACGTCAAATTCTGAGCTGCTGTACTGAATTAGTTTGTTCAACACACTGAACTGAAGGTGCTCATACTTTGTAGGTAATTATCCCTCCGCCTAAAGGAATACATCATTTCCTGGTGGACTTATGGAATTCTGGGTAATGCTGTTTCATCCACTGATAGAATACATTCAGCATATACTGTATATTTAAAATGTTATGTATTTAATATCATCAAATGTTTTTTTTCTCAGGTAAGGTCATTTAAATAATTGGTAAAACAGGTTCTGTAATATGTCTTTTAGTCATTAATTAATTAACAGGTGCCATTAATCCACACAAACTGACTAATGTTAATGAAGACTTGACTTAGAAACATGGCTAGGTGAAAGTTAAACTGAGGATTTATTTGGAATCTTGATTTTCTGTAGTTTATACTTAATCATGAACTTCCTGGAGGCTAGTCAGAGAGCCTCCTCTTTCTTCGCAAAATCCTGGCCATGAGCTGAAACGTCACAAGTACATTCACTGGCTTTTATTTTGACACTTTCTCTGTACCTTAAACAGGTGCCTTGCACAGGAAATTTCAGGATATATGAAAGGAAGGATGAGAAATATAGAGAGCAATGTTTTCCAATTCGGTCCTCGGGGACCCACTGTCAATTCCCAGGAGGGGACTGGTCTGTGGACTGTCTGGCAGGGAATTCAGAGAAGGAAAAAACGTGGACTAGCTGTGGGTCACGGAGGACTTGATTGGGAAACACAGATGGAGAGAAAGGGAGTTTGTCTGACTGTAGTCTTAGGAAGTAGTTTCCAAGTCTCTGAATGACATTTTGATGAAAACAGACAGGCACGGTACAGTGATGATTTTCATGCTGACACAATCCAATACTGAAGTCAAAATGGCTGACCAGGCACTGGGCTACTGCTCAGAGTTAAAAACCTTAATATGGGATGGAATTTAAATTTAAACATGTCTCTTTGATGTGCTAATGGACACTAGCATTCTGAGTTAGCCCTTTTGAGGCCTCTAGTGGAGAAACAGGGATACTACAAGTTACCACTGATATGAAAGAACTACTTAAAAAATCCTGTGCTATAAAAACTTAAATAAATAAGATCTACACAGAAAACGTTTTTTGTAGTGACTAATACAATCCGAATAGCAGTCCAAAGCCAATGCAACTCTCCAGTAACTGTTATTGTCAATTAAAAAACAATTACTTATTTTTCATAAAATAATAAGTATTGTAGGTGGCTTCTCATCTCAGTCATTTCTGTATTTTTTGTACTGTCCACATTCATTGAAAGGTAAGATGACATTGTCAAGTCCCAGCATAGATCTGGAACACAGCAGACACACACCGTAATTATTTACATTCCTCTCCAAGGTGCTGTTGCAGATGCTCATGTTGGATTTCGACAGGGCTTCTATGGGAGGTCCAGCAGGCCATGCTCCTCAAACGCATTCTGGGTCCTGGAGTACACCTCCCCCAACGCCCGGGCCACCCTGCCCAAGACACGGCCTGCGTCCTGCTGCCTGTGCACACACACCAGCTGGAGCATCGCCTCCCGGTCAGGCATGGCCATGAAAGCCAGCTCAGCCGCGCGCTGGGCAATCCAGGAGTGGTGGTGGGCAAGGGCGAGTTGATAGGCTTCCCGGCATAGGTCTGACGGGTTTGGCAGCTCGCCACTGGCATCTGGGCCCTCGCCCACCTTCTGGAGGAAGAGCTGGAGCCACAGCAGGGCGCGGTGGAGTCTGAGCAAGGTGCGGCAGCCGGAAGGAGTCTGAGTACGGAAGTTAACCAGTCCGCGGCTCAGCTCTGCCCCAATCATGGAGCGTATGGATCGGTACGAGTTCCCTTCGGCCTCTCCTGGTAAGCGTTGCCCATTCTCTCCCTCCCTTCGCATCTGTGCATCTTGCTGAGCTAGCTCGCGGATTATTGTCACTTTTTTCCGGACCTGCTGAGAGATGAAGGATACCACAGTACCCAAAGACTCCATGAACCTGAGGTCAGGGAGAGGAGGACTGTGGTCAGTGTCGTCATTCAGATGTATTTAGTGGAGTGCATCGTCTCTCTCCTTCAGTGTCATAAACTTCTAGGGCGTTTGAGGCCTTACTTGATGAGCTCTTCCCAGCAGGACAGGTAGGGCTGCAGCAGGATGTCGGAGTCAGGGCTCAGTGTTGCACCCAGGTGGGTCAGTAACCGTGAGACCTGGAATATCTGACCAGGACATTCTCTGACCAGGTCATCGCTGAGTCCGCTGTCAGCATCCTGAGGGAAGTCAGACTGGGCAAAATGTGATAATAATAATAAATATACATTTTATTTAAAGGCCTTTTATTTTAATCCCTGGGTATAGCACTCTGCCGATGCTGGGATTTGAACCAGCGACCTTTGGATCAATTCAAATTCAATTCAAATCACAAATACAGACTCCTGTCTCACTTAGTCATACACCACACCCCATAGAGTTGACTAGCTTCCTGATTATCCAGCACAGAGGTGGAAAGTTCAGTTCCAGAAAGTACTAGTGCTGTCAAACGATTAAAATTTTTAATCCGATTAAAACGGGGTTGCTGTGGATTAATTTCGATTAATCACAATTAAATATCATTCATTTTTAATCTATATTAATCGCATTTCATTTTGCATGAGCAAACGGAGTCAAGAAAAGGGAATATATATGCACTTAACATGTTTATTGAACATCTTGAACACGAGTCGGATGCATTCCATCTGCCACAGAAGTGCAATACCATGGCAAGATTTTTTGCTTAGCCGGACAACTTGTCGGATTTAAGGTACCTCAGTTTAAATGGTCTTTATTTAATTCACTTACAATTAGCCCGAACTACCGTAAATCCGACAAATAGCCCAGTTAATTGCCATTGTTAGCAATATCAGTTGATAACACATTACATGTGGTGCTTTACTTATAAAACTCCGTAGCAACACGTCCACAGATAAGTTGGACGGTATAGTGTGTGCGACCGATTTAATGAGCCACAAATGAGAAGTAGTGCTTAAACAGTATAAAACTACAACTTTCCCTTCTGTTGATAAAAGGTGTAGCCATCTTGGATTCTGAACTCGGGATCCTCTGTGCTGCTCCGAGATATTTCTCGGATCTCCAAGAAACGGGAGCGCATGTTGTCACTTCCGGCTTCAAAACTCAGAATCCGACTCAGAATACAAGTTCCCAGGGCAAATGGAACGCACCAAAACTGCCCGAAATGGGTTGACAGAGACATTTCAGGGATTTTGAGTCATTCTGCGATGCAGATGGGCTAATTGCGTTAAAAAATGTAATCAGATTAATCATGATGATGGATTAATCTGCGTTAACCCGTTAATTTTGACAGCCCTAGAAAGTACAAATCCAGACCAAGGTTTTGTTTCAGCGAACAAGTTGAGTACTCTGTGAATGTGATTTTTTATGCTTAACTGGTTGGTTGAAACAAAAGCTTGGTCTGGATTTGTACTTTCTGGACCTGAACTTTCCACCTCTGTCTGTAATGGATTAGTTTTGTGAGTAACTTCTCCAACACTGGCAGTGTCAAGGTGAGCCTCCTGCCTGCCGTAGACACAATGCATCCTGGGTGGGTTGGAGGCGCCACTTAAGTTAACAGCGTGTTTTAGTGCTTTGGAGGAAACCCGCACGAGCGCAAGGTGAACATGGAAACGCTACAGCACACTCTCCTCCGCTGCCATTCATCTTTCCCTCCCCTCTCTGTCTTCGGCCCAGACTCCCCATGCCGTGGTGCTTCCTCACCCTCACCACTCCTTCTGGAGTGCGGCCACTCAGACAGGGTCCCCTCGGCGACACACAGTCTGCAGCTTCTACCGAAGAGGAAATCAGAGCGTTTCAGATACACAATTTCGCCCTTCCAGTCCTGAGATAGTTGCTATACCTGTTGGGTAACTGCAGAGGTGAATCAATCATCACAGGAACAAAGGTCAACATCTGTTATGCAAAGGTTAAGTATTTACAGGTATGTGGTTAGAAACATTTTTATCTCTGTTGGTTTATTGTAAAGGGAATGACAAGCACTATGACATCAGAAAATGTGCCCTTTGGAGTGATTGTGGAGCGGGCCGAGTGAGCTCTCCCACACACACACGAATAATCTCGCGAGGAGTCGGAAATGCTGATATATGACACACAGACACAGATTGCGGACCTGCTGTCCAATCAGGAAAAGGCACACGGGTGGGGGACACGTCATGCTGCTCCATTACCCCCCTACAGGGGCTCTCTTCATCTCCCAAATAAAGAGACAGACTGTTGCATATAAAATGATTAAGTCCTGTCGTCGTCCCCCCCCAATATCAAACTCTCTCCTACGCCATTAGCCCCTTAACATTATGAGGAAGGCTCATTCAGAAGGCTTTTCTTTACTGTAAAAAGATACTCAATTACAAAGGAGTCTTATTCAAACAGGTAGCTTATTTAGAAAGCATTAATGATAAGTATTTAAAAGGATACTCGTTTGCAAATACCAATTTTCAAAGGATACTCATTTACAAGAGCAGTCATTTTAAAAATGGTACTTCAAAAGGTAATTGATACTTATCAGGGTTGGGTAGTTCAGGTCCAGAGAGTGAAAGTCTAGACCAAGATTTTGTTTCAGTCAACCAGTTGAGCATAGAGTCACAGAGTCAACTGGTTGGTTGAAACAAAATCCTGGTCTGGACTTTTACTCTCTGGACTTGAATTACCCAGCTCTGATACTTATTCACAAAGCACACTAACCGATCAAGGGTATGAATTTCTGAAGGATAGAAGCCTACTTACGGAGCCATGAGGTGCAGATGTAGAATGTAACAGCCAAGATGACTGTGAGGAGAAAATACTGCCTTTTAAAGCGACTTCCCAGAGATGAAGCGCCTCTCATTCCCATTCCTGGTGCAGTGTCCACACGTCCTGCCTCCTCAGTGCAGTCCTGCCCCCCCGAGGCTCAGCCTCATCATCCTCACTTTAGCTGCATTCCCCAATCATCAGTCTCTCTGGTCTCTTCGTCTTCACTGTGGATTTTTACCTTCATGCGGCTCACAAAAGCCGCACCTAGATTTTTAATCTGTGCATCTGACCTCTGCTCTCTGCCAGCCTTTCTCTCCGCCCCCCTTCACGTCGCTGTCTGCTCATGATCTCTTCATTTGGTGTCTCCATAAAAGCGGTTCAGAACTCCCTCCCCCACTTTGAAACCATATTTGCATCAGTCACAGGTAAAGCAGTTTGTTATGAATACCACCCTCTATGTGTTCGCGAGGTCTGCGGATTTCATATTTTCAGTGAGACCTTAAGGTTGCACCTGCTCTGCTGTAGCTTTACCCGACATAATCAGATTTGAGACAAAAACAATGAAAGTCCAATAAAAGTGAAAATGATTAAACACGACCTTGATGAATGGAATACTTTGATTTATATAACCAAATCGATGCTGTGGATCATGTGAAAATGAACAGAATGCAGACTAAACGATTATGTGTTTCGCTGATCCTTTTTAGAGATTAAGGATTGCTGTATTTTGTAATCTTACATTAAAACTTTTTGTAAAAGTTTATGAAAAGAGTAGTAACTTGAATGGGACATAGCTGGGAATTAATTTTGTTTCTTCATTATATATAATGAGCGTATACTGAATAATGTTAATTAATTTTGTGAAGATGGTCAGGCCAACTTCCTATTAAAAAGGTATTTTCTCTCTCTGCATTGTGTAATGGATCCACTGAGTGTCCGGAGGACTAAAGTCCCAGTTTTTCAGCGTCAGACAGCCTGCAGTCTGGACACAGAGCAAAGGACGTAATCTTATCGCACACAAATGTAGACACACGTGGACTTTAAGGGGACCCCCCCACGCCCCCCCCTACAGCAGCGGCCTTTTAGCCTCGGCTCACCTTTACCCAGGTATCCGTGCTGCTGCTCAGTCAGCCCAGCATCAGCTGTAGTGGGCAGGAAGCTCCGGCCGGGAAGTCGTCCCTAAGTGCTGCACATCCCATGGCGAGGCTCAGATTCCAAGTCCGGCTAATTAAAACCTTCTGGTAAAAGGCCCGATCTTCAGCAATGTTCGACCAGCGCTGTACTAAGTCTGCGTTGCTGGGGCTACTGCAGGCCACATTGCTGGGCTGGTTGCACATGCCAGTAACTGTGCACCAATTTGTTTGCCGAACGCACATCCCACAGAAGTTCGGCAGTACAACCCACAAGTGGTGTAACTTTCAGTTGCCATGACAACAGCTCAAACAAAATGCTGGGAATTATAAACAAAACTATTATTGAGAGTTATAAATGTTCTGATGACGTTTTTATTGATGACAGGAGTGTATTTCAGTTACCAACATGCTGCTCCTCAAATTCAATCAGAACCAAAGCAACGAAAACAAATGTGAAACATCCATCGGTAAATTTACACCTTCCGGACTGAAAGCATAACTGTGGCAACAAAATAAAGAAATTCTATTACAAGAGGACTGATAAACTCGCAACAGCAGCAACAATCACTGGCTTAAAATGGAAATATTAATAAGTTAGCTTATTCTGGCATCCCATTGGCTAATACTTGGTCGCCTCCTCCGTCTGCCCTGCGATTGGTGGAGGGGTGAGGGTGGGATTGGCAACAGGGCTTGAAGTGTGGACCTGGCTTTGAGTCTGGGGGGTAAAAAGAGACAGACAGGAAAAGGAAATGGCGTGACACTATTAGCATTGCTGTATCTCTGCCTGACCAGCAAAAATCTCCAGCTTGCATATTAACAAGTACATTTTTTCTGTCCACTACTACTATGAGGGAGCAATTCCAGAAGGACTTTGCCCCTCCACCCCGATTTCTACTCCACTCCCCCTAGTGGCAGCTACTGTACCGTCCTTCCTCTGCCAGAGAACACTGTGGTCAAGCCTCTCTGAGGTTTGACGTGTCTGAGGGAGTGAGACTGCTTCAGCTCTCGAAGGAGCTCTGGACTGCTGAGAGAGAGTGCTCCTGAAGGGTGAGGGGAGAGAGAGAGAGAGTGTGAGAGAGTGAGTGAGAGAGAGTATAAGCCACTCTAGTGTAAGCCGCAAGGCACCCAAAGAGAGGCTTTGGAATACAGTATATAGACAGTGGAAATGATGATGTAAAGGCCATGTGATCTCAAGGTGAAGCCACTGTCTTTGGCTGGGTGATGAAATTTCACTGGGAAAAGCCTCTCATTCTATACAGAGTACTGTGACGTCCATACTTCTCTGAGGAGCGATGGTCACATGGGATGCGATGGACACAATCACTACTGACATTCACATGCCACAGAAGGAGACAAGGCTAATACACCGTATCAGTAAACAACTGAGGGAGAATACAGAAGGTGGTTTTAGACCCACAGTAGAGGCTGAGGTCCTCCTCTTTCCAGGGAATTATAGCTCTCTCTCTGGCCAGCGTTAACAAAGAATTCCCGCACAGAATGTACTGCGTGGCGTGGATACAGGGCTGCTGGATTCATGGAAGCAATCAGGGACTCACCTCCTGACACAGGGGACAGGGGCTGGGGGGGCGAGGCCCCGTTTCCAGGGGAAACCGTCACCATGGAGATGGGGGATGTTGGCGTGCTGGGGCTCTGGGCTGACTCCTCCGCTGGGACGTAGCGGGTGACACTCTGCTGCAGCTCAGCCAGCAGCTGGGGACTCCCCAGGGAGAGGGACACTGCGGGGGACAGTGAAGCACAGACAGAAGCAGGTCCTAAGCACCAGAGTCCCAGCTGTGACCCGTCTGATGTCAATGCCAATGTGTCACTCTGACCTCTGACCTTTTCCAGCGACACACAGTATGTTGCCAGACAATAACAACAATTATAATACTTATTATTATCTTTATTATGATCACTATTATTATAGGTCCAAGCAGTGCAGCAGATGTATCCATATTATTATTATTATTATTATTATTATTATTATTCATAAATTAAGTTACATTTGTGGCTAACAAAAAAGACTTTCTGCTCCTTCATAAAAAATAAACAATTGTAAAACATTATATATAATTATATTTAAGTAAAAATATACGACTTCAAAGTTCAAATCCTGCCATCTCCTTTTGTGAAGAAAATCACTATCTAGGTGTAGTCATTCATGTCAAAGTCTCCTTTGGCCTTAATTTTTCAGGTATCCCACTTTGCTGCCTTGTATCATGAATAAAGACTGTAACTTGTCTTCATGTGGCAGGGAATGGCTGTGTACACTTTCCCAAGCTCATTTTGGAGCATAAAAATCAATGTTGAAGTACTGAGTATTACACATGGGCCATAAAGCAACACTGTAACCAAACAAAAGCAACATACATATCGATCTTGTGGGAGTGTCATCTGGAGAGAAGCCATTTTGTTGGGGAGACGCTGGAGAGACAGGGGATCTCTTGGGATTCTCCTCTGGGTCCTTATTCAGCTGTGGGGGACGGCCAGTAAGCCCCAAGAGTCCAGTACGGCTCTGATTCATATCTGGAGACAACTGCAGAAAACAAACGGGGCACAAGGCGGAGAGGCAAGGAGGCTTTCAGAATTAGAAATACACTTATGTTACTGACTTTTGTTCAGACAGCAGGTGGCGTAGTGGTGAAAGGACATACAACCTGAAAGGTCCTACAACTGGTTAAACATTTAACTACAGCTTCAGAATAAAATGTCCACATATATTAAGGGGCTAAAATTAAAGGTTGCTTAGATACTACAACTGGTTAAGCAATTTAATTAGTTCAAACAAAAAAAACAGCTATTTTTGTGTGAGTGCTAGTTTGTTTGGTACAAATGCTTCAGCACTAAGAGAGCAGTAACTTCATGACGAGCTATAATGAAACGATCAATGAGGAACCACTTAGTCTTAGGGAACTGGCTGAAACGGTGGTAGATACTAGATTCTACACTTAGCTTTCAGTGAAAAGTCAAATACAAGAGATTTTGCTCTTTAGCCCCTGGGCTGTGCGGCAAAGGGGCTCGAGCCACATTCCCCAGTGCAGCTTTAGGTCTTATCTTTCAGGATCCAGCTTCTAAGAGGCCATGATTTCTGTGCTGGTGAGGATCTGGGGGCACTAGCTCCGAAACGCCATCCCCCCCCCTCACCTCATTCCTCTCCATGGCAGACGATATCCAACCAGCGATGAAAGTTGATGCTACAGCTTCTCGCTGTTGTGAAAGAGAGGAATATCAATGGGGGAGTTGTGTGGCTTGCGGCTTAGAGGCTGTGCCTGTGGTTGAAGGTGACTAGTTCGAATCCCCAAGTCGGCAGAGTGATTTCACCTTCGTGACCTCACTCTGCATGAAGGTGTTTGCTAAATAAATAAAATATAAATAAATAACCTACCTCATTTGGTGTATAAATATGACTCTAAAGACTCCCATTACAAGTCATGTTGAAATATTTCTGTATATCCATCTTTATCATGGGCAGGGTCGGGGGGGTTCATCTCATAGGGCACAAAGCTAGGGTTCACCCTGAATGGGATGCCAGTTCATCACAGAGCCCATTCACTCTGACTGATTCAAAGCTGCCATTCAGCCAAACTGCATGTCTTTGGACAGTCGGTAGAGACCAGAGTACGCACAGGACCTCAGCATTGCCCACCTCCACAAACACAAACCCTGGAGGTGTGAAGCAGCCCCGCTACCCACTGAGCCACTGTGCCACATTCAGTAATTTTAGTAACCATAAATTGTCATTACATTTATTTTAGTTGATCTAAACTAGTACTGAGACCTCATTTACTGCTAAACAGTCCTAAGTCACGTCACTCACATATTAAGGGTCAGTTTGTAGTCAAGTTAATGTCTCTGAATTTGTATTTATAGTACCTTAACCCTGAATATTCATATGTGAGGTTTAATTTCATCCTGTTTTAAGTTGTAGCAATAGCCACTACTAGCAGTATCTTTCACTGGCTGTCAGTCAGGCATACTGCAATGGTTAATTACTACCATACAAGCAAAGAGAGATCATTATATTGTAAAAACCAGTTCCTCAAGTACACAAATAACCTAGACACATAAATTACAACTGCAAAAGAAACTGTAAAAATCACTGCACTATGTTAAAAGCTAAGCGTCACATATTAATACATACTCAATTAGGTGTTCATGTGAAATTTTAATGTGTCTGTTTCCAGTTTAAGCACAGAAAAAATTAAATAAACTCCATTGCTACAACACATTAGGATTCATAGTATTTGTGATTAGCATTTTTCACTCAATAATACTGCCCTGCATTGGAAAAGCAGGTGGAAGATGGATGGACTTGAATTACTCATTTACAACATAAGCAACTATATTATGCGAAGTACATCCAGAGTACCTGAAATTAAATGCGTACACTATTAAGGAATAATCGACTTACCAAATACTACTCCGCGCACACGCCCCTTTTGCTCCGGGATCACAGCAAACGAGGCCCCCTTCACTAACCAAGCCGCGGAAACTTTATAGACCACAGAAACGCGAGGGCTGTATACCCGATCACGGATAAACCATATTACAGAAGAATTAGAAAAACAGTAGCGACCATAGCCTGTATTATAACATTCATCTATTAGCCTAGATGTCGCTTTTCTTCTAGACTCTGTCAAGTCATCCTTCTCCCACAACATCAAGTTACAGCGGTAGTCTAAATTAATGATTGACATCCTTTTAATGACTCACAAAGTCCATTGGTAGTTGCTGTTCTGGGGGATAATTTGTGACATGAAAAGCTTTATAATTGTTTCCATCAACTATCCAAATAATCTATTTCACTATTTCTTACTGCACGTTTACTAGTTAAAATTAATAGCCAAGTATGTTATATAACACCTTTGTCCTCGCTGAATGGTAGTCACAAATAATGGAAGAAGAAAATGATTTGCATTTATTTTTGCACAAAACTTTTTTGAAAAGTAGCCTAATTATTCGAGGCGTATTACAGGACGCTCACTGTGTACATGTTAACTAGTCAGAATGTAGTTTCGTTTCTTATTTATTTTAGTTAGTACATGGGCATGTTTTGTTGTTTTTAGTTCACTTAGTAATAAAGGCAATGCCGCTGTTACAATAAATTGAATACACGTTGTGACCTTCGGGTAGCAAAGCTGAACCGGTAGCTTCACTAAAAGCTCGAGGCAAGTATTATAACATCGTAAACCCAAAGCTGGGCGCCATGGTGGCTCTGCAGGCCTGGGGAACCTCTGCTGTGTGTGGGTACAGTTTACATGTTCTCCCGGTCATCCGATTTCCCCCCAACAATCCTTTTATTTAGGCTAATCGCTGTCTCTGAATTGTCCATGAAGCACGATTGTGTTCTGTGCCCCGCGATGGGCCAGCATCCCATCCTGGCTGCACTCCAGCCCTGTGCTGTATGGGATCGTCTCCAATTTCCCGATTATGTTAGAGCCTGTCCCAGTAACAGAGGGATAGGATGCATCATAGACTGGCCCCCGTCCATCGCAGGACACTGACGCACAATTACCTAAACTGCATGGACTGCGCATTCAAAGCCGCAGGCAAATCAGCCTCGAATGTGTGAGGCCCAGCTAAAAACAACTTTAAAGTAAACCGATTTATATGTGTCCCCTGAAATTAATATCACAGCATTGTATTTCAGTTCATATTGTGATACTTTAATCGGTTCATCAAACAATATTACGCGGCTTAATTATACTGAACTTGACTTATATCCTGAATATGTGCTTCGCTTGAGGGTTCAAATGAACATTTTCCTGGGAGAACCAGACGTGCTATTGTCGACTTTACGACTCATTCGTTTAGTGCTGTTCCGTGTTTGTTTTTTAAAACCAAAATGGACAGCAGCTCTACCTTGTAACCCTTTAGTTTTGCTACAGCTTCTCGGTTCATGCCAACAGATGTCACTCTAGTCTTTAGATCGTTAATTTCCAAAATGATAATGGGCGTATTATATCCATCCTGCATTAAGATAAGTAATGCAGAGCTCAAGCGGGAATTTTTAATTACTATAAAGTACAATAATTCTCTATCTCTGTAAAATGACCGTTTTATCTAGATCTAAGTAAACATTTTGTATAGAAAGCTAAACACACTCTGATCTGCTTTTGACATTGTTGCTGTACTACCAAGTTATATAAATTCCTGTTATTTTGCATACACCATTATAAGATGTACTGTAGTGCACTTTTATATTTAGGGTTGGCGTGCATGTACACGGCATATACTTTTATATAGTATACTGTTCCAGGGATGCAAGCACACAAGGGGCCGACATGTAGAGACAACTTTGCAAACTAATCACATTAAATCCATATGTGTTTTCGCAGTTGTCAAACAAGCCACCGAACAATTCTTCTTGTCTGCCGAGCTTCTGCATTAGTTAAAAGCGGAATTATCCAGTTTAAGAGATTAGGATCCACAGAACTATGCGTTCGATAAATCCTGCGAAAACGTGTAAATCCAACCACCCCCTTAGGCAATCACACAACACGTACATCAATGCTGCGCCGCAGAACTTAGAACAATCTTACTGGGCGAGTTCTGCAGCCAGGACGCACTTCTATGTTGTTAGCGTGGTTAAAAAAAAAGTTGCCGATCCTAAAATGATTTGTATGACGTTCAACACCGGGGGTGGAACTTCCGGACTTGGGAAAATTGTCATCAGTTAGCTAAAGTAAAATAAACATGTAGATGGTTAGATGGAAGTCTGTGTGACCCCCACCATAGTCCAGCAGTACAAATATTAGCAAAGAAGGGATCGACCCCGCGAGGACGGAAAAGGGAGCAAAACTGGGGGAACGAGCTCAGCATCAACAGAAACATGAAGCGCGTCTTTCTCAAGCGCCTGATGCGAGTTAGCACGCTGTGTATAGGTAGTTAACTGGGAGAAACATTTTTTTGCACATTGGGTGTGGGGTAAAGGTACTATTTAGAGACAAGCCCTAAAGTAGCAAGGCGACACATGCGGAATATTCTACGGGATCCCCGTCGCTCGTTCGCGTCAAGCTCCGCGTGGACAACTTTTTGGAAATTGCACGACTTTAAAGCACTGAGATTGGATGAGCGGAGCCCTAATGCGGCTGGAAAGCTCACGGGAGCCCGGCGGGATGCACGCGTCTCCTTCGGCGTGACAGCGGAGCCAGTCTCGGAGCCCGTCGGGAGACGCGCAGCTCTCAGACACGCTCTTTAAACGTCCTGCCGCTAGCTGGCTCGGCTAAGCCCCACTTAGCGAGGCCCACTTCGGTGCGAGCCGCGGAATTACTCACACTTTTCATCTTCTGCGGCCAGAGGTTGGACGTTTCGGCACGTTTCACACGGTATCCCACTTCAAGACGGTTGGGTATATTTAGAATGCAGAGTTGTGCATGATTGCAATATACTGCTATAGTTAAATGATCGGTCGTAAACAGAAGTCCTAAATAAGGCTTTTATGCTCCTTTAAAATTAAAAAGCTAGTTCGACAGTAGTATGTACGCAGATGTCGTAGATGATTTTAAACGATGCTGAGGCCGTTTTAAGTACAATAGGCTATAATCTGTGGACTTTTTTTAAAAAAAAAGTATGTTTACATTCTTGATGTGTTTGGTTTATGCTGCGTCCTGTTATAATTAAATTTACAGTGAAATTACCTATGGGACAGAGATGGGGCACGGACTGAGGAAGTACGCGTGAAAGTACAAGGGAAATTAAGTCATTTTTGCTTGTTTTTGGGTAATACATAGCAAATGTGTAACTGTAAGTGATGTGTTCGAGCATTTCCAGGTAGTTGAAATCCAGTATTTGCCAGACAGGTCCTGTCATGCGCCGTCGAGTGTTTTTTTCCGTTTACAGTACAGGACGGTGTGCAGTGGAGCATTATACCGCAAAAGCAGTGCGTAGTGTTGCTGTAGCAGTCATTTCCAAATGGAAAAACGCAACTGTTGTTGAAATTTGAAAAGATGACTTTGTTTACTATTCACCAGGTTAAATTACTGAGTTATATGAGGTCATAACGCTTATTATTATTATCATTATTGAAGAACAAAATTAGATCGTTTCTGGCGGTTTTCCCTGTGCGTAAATTTTACACCGTATTGTACGGTTTGCACTTTATAACCCAGTGGTTTCACGTTCGACTAAATCAGACTTCCGACTTTAAACTGGCATCTAATGTTGCCGTATGTGACATCTATAAATACCAGGCGATGTGTTGGTGCCAATTCACAGACCCTTAATCAGACATACTATTGCGTAATAGCTTGGCAGCTTCCTACCACGTTTTTGGAGGAGGAGCCTGGACACAGTCCAGTTTCTCGTATTTAACTAAGCGTATGTTTAAAGGGCTTGATATTTGTTTTGCAGACGTGTTTGTAATCCGTGTTGATTTTAAATTAAGTTTGACAGTTTATCTTGAACACACTGGTGAAGCAAGCCAAATTCGTTTTATGAACTTTTTAGAAGTTGCCCGATGCACCTCTGACGGGCACTCTTCCGTTTTGAGTAATATTAAAAATTGAACTAGAAGCCGATATACATTGTATATTTTATCGGAACTCTCAGCAGTAGTTTTTGTTTCTGACTTTGTGTTTACCTGCCCGTTGGGAGATGTGACCTCACTGAGCATAAGAGGTATGCCGCTGCTTTAAGAATGTGAGCACGAGCTTAACAGACAAGAAAAAGGTGTGCCTTATGGGCTGGGAAACATGAGCGGCGGCAAGAAGAAGAGTGGCTTCCAGATCACCAGCGTCACCTTGGAATATGGCCAGGCATCCGGCGAGCCCTCGCCCCCACCGGCGTCCATGGGAAAGGAGGTGGCCGGCGGGACTGGGACCGACAGGTTCGCGCGGCCCGATGATGCCGGGGACCACAAGCTTCCAGCCAGGTCTGGCAGCCTGGGCGGGGATGAAGTGGTCCGGGGGAAAGGTTCTGCCCCCAATGGTCCCACCCTGCTGGACGTGATCAGGACGGTGCAACCACACACCAGCTGCAGCCAGCCCAGCACCCCCGCGGCTGTGCGCCGGCAGACGGGGTCCCAGGACAGTGTGGGGGCCCAGTCCCCGCAGGCATCCCGCTTCCGTGTGGTGAGGCTGGGCCACGGCCTGGGAGAGCCGTACCGCCGTGGCCGCTGGACCTGTGTGGACTTCCTGGAGCGGGAGGGTGGAGAGGAGCGCGGCTTGAGGCGCGTCATGGACAGCATGCGCCACGCCCACTCACTGGAGTCACTGGAGACTGTGGGGCTGGGTGGGGCCGAGGGGCCCGGGGGTGGGGCTTTGCTGAAGCCCTTGGGGCATGTGCGTGCCCTCCGTGCCGGTCACCTGGTTCACTCACAGGGCACCACCCACCTGCGTGCGCCACACCTGGGGGGTGGGGCTGACGAGCTCCTGGCCAAGCCCCGCCCCTCATCTAGTGGGCCGCCGTCCCCTTCGTCCTCCTCGCCCTCCCCCTCTCGCAAGGAGCGCTTCAGCGTCAGGCTGGTGAGCACGGGTTCGCTGCGGTCCTCCCTCTCCTCCCCCACCTCTCAGCCACCAGAGCCCCCGGTGTTCTCCCCACCGCGTTACCGGCACGTCCCCGCCCCTCTGCAGCTGGACATGGACATGGGAGGGAAGGTGGGTGCCTCCGTTGGGGGGGTATTGCATCATAAGCAGTATGCACTAATGGCTTCCAAACATTGATGAAATGTCATCCGAGGCTCATGTTAAGGGTTGGGGGGGGGGGATTATTTTCTCAGTCTGTTGAAGAGTGCCCTGGCACTAATTGGAAACTCTGTATTCCCTCAGCCTCTATTTCGAGAAACCCTCTCTCAGCCCAGCTCCCCTGGCCCCTCCTCTTCGCGAGATGGCGCCTTCCAACAGAGTGCCAACCCTGTGCCTACCCCCTCTGCACTCAGCTTGGCGCAGTCTGTTTTTGGGGTGGGCGGGACCTTCGACCTCAGCGACGACAGGTAGAATACCCTTCCTGTGGCTCTGCTAAGTGGATTCACATTAGTTTGGGGGGGGGGGCATGTAAATATGAGCCTGTGTTCCGTCAGCCAAGGGTGGGTCTCTGGACCTGATGGTACGGTAGTGTGATGGCAGTGCTGTGTGAAATGCACACAGTCAGCACTGGTGTGTGAAAAGGATAAGCAGACAAACCCCAGCTTTGGCAGCTGCCCGTCAGTAGCAGGACGGCGATACCCAGCGCGATGGCGTGGTTACACGATGCCCGTACCACGTCTGCCAGCCACTCCCGCCCGTGGCTCCGTTGCTCATCTGGCCCTGGAGATTTTATTGAGAAATTATCTCTTGAGTGTCATATTTTTTTATAGACCTGGGGGGGGGGTACCAGGCAAAATACTTTTGCTGTGGAAAAACTTGTTTAATCTACTGCCAGTAAGGGGCGGGGGGTGGGGGGTGACGCCCTCTCTGTCGCCGAGGCTCACGCCGGCTCCTCAGTACCGCTCTGTCCCCTTCCCATGATTCTTGGTTCCCTGCCACGCCGTAATTGCTGCGGTATTTTTAAAGCCGGCGGGGAAGCCGCAGCCCCCCCTTTGGGATGCTGGCGGCTCGCTGGCCCCCCCCACAGGCGGCTTCAAAGTGCCCAGGCCTCACAGCTCTGTGTGCACTGTCACAGCCGGGGCATAAATACCACAACAATGCCGAGTGCGCCTCACCGCCCCCTCCTCCCGTTCCCTCGCTTATCCATCTCCTTCCCGCTTTCCATCTTTCCCATCTCTTCCTTTTATAGGAACCTCATTCCCTCTTTTTCTTTCTCTGTTCCCTCTTTCTTGCTCTTCCTCATCTCCCTTTTTCCTCATCCTCCTCTTATCCTTTTTTCCCTTCCAGCCACTCCTCTTCTTTCCCATTCAACGCTCCTTCTGATGTCCTCCCCTCTGCTTTTTCTCATCGTCCTCCCCATCCCATCATCCTTCACTCGTTTTTCATTCCTTCCTCCTCTTTTCCCCTCTCTCTCTGTCTCTCTCGCTCCATCTTTCTCTGCTGCCCCCCAGTTGACCTTGTGACACGGCAGCATGTAGAAATAAACTCCAACAAATCTCGCCCTTTTCTATACCCACCCCCCCCATTGCGGATTTCTGACGCTACATTAATAGACGCATGAGTTGGGGGATAGAGACGCTATTCATGATGGGGGTAGAGAGAGAGAGAGAGAGACTGAGGGATGTGGAGCAGAGGGAAAGGAGGGTGGAGGGGG